GTCGCCCGCGTCATTTCGGGTCGTGACAAAACCCTAGAGATCTTCTTCTTCTTCGAAACACTCGTCGTAAAAGGGAGCAGATTTTGGCCAGAATCGTTTCGGCCGACGGAATATTGAATTTAGGTACCGTGGCCAGTCTAATCAAGCACTAACCCTGGTTTCGTTCTTGCTATTAATCGTTTCTTTTTCCCGCGTTGTTGCCCTCATCTCTCGAACGCATCTTTGACCTTCTTCTTGCCGGAAGTTAGAATTAGGCTTGCGCTTGGAATCTATGGGTGTTTTCCTTTCCAAATTCAGTGTTTGCAGAGCTTATTTTCTAGAAGTATGCTGCGTCATTCACTTTTGTTCGATTAGTTCAAACTTGCTTGGCTGATTTATAATTCCTTGTGCTATAAACGATGAACCTCATTGGTTGCAGATACTGTATTTTTACCTGAAATGGCTGGTCAGAGAAACAGTTACGGAAAGCGGTCTCATTCTTACTCGGATTATGACGATGGAAGAAACAAGAGAAGAAATTCAGGTGAAGATAGAGACCCTTTGGTCATTGACCCTCGTGATACTGTTTACCGGTATTTGTGCCCCGGTAAAAGGATTGGAACGATCATTGGGAAGGGAGGTGAAATTGTCAAACAGTTGAGGTTAGACACCAACGCCAAGATTAGAATTGGTGACACCATACCCGGGTGTGATGATCGCGTGGTTACCATCTACAGCTCTAGTGACGAGACTAATCCATATGCAGATGGTGATGATAAGATCACACCGGCTCAGGATGCTCTATTCAGGGTGCACGATAGAGTTGTTGGGGAAGATTTGCGTGTCGATGCAGACTCTGAAGAAGGTGGCGGTCAGCAAGTGACTGCGAGGCTTCTTGTTCCATCTGATCAGATAGGTTGCATTATCGGGAGAGGTGGGCAGATTGTGCAGAGTATCCGTACTGAAACTCGCACACAGATCCGCATTTTGAAGGACGACCACTTGCCACTCTGTGCACTGAGCTCTGATGAACTTGTACAGGTATGATGGATCAACAACCCGAATGGCCTTACGTTTTTCTCTCTTTTTGCTCGAATCTTTTGTAGTCACACTTTGTCGATTGTTTTCCTATCTGGTAAGCTGTTAAGTCTGGTATCTGATTGTTACCCTTTGGTGGGTCTTAGATTTCTGGTGAAGCTGGAACAGTAAAAACGGCACTATATCAGATTGCTGCTCGCCTTCATGAAAATCCATCACGGTCTCAGCACTTGCTGGTTTCTGCTGTCCCCAACATGTATCCTTCTGGTGGTTCACTGATTGGTCCTACTGGTGGGGCACCAATTGTTGGAATGGCTCCATTGATGAGTCCTTATGGAGGATACAAAAGTGATGCTAGAGATTGGTCGCGGTCCTTGTACTCGACACCCAGAGAGGAACTTCCACCTAGAGAATTTTCTCTTCGTATGGTTTGTCCAAGTGGATATATAGGTGCCGTGATTGGAAAAGGTGGTGCCATCATTAATCAAATTAGACAAGAGACTGGAGCCGGTATAAAGGTTCATAGTTCAGCTGCTGATGATTGCTTGATAACAATTTCAGCCAAGGAGGTATAAAACTGGTATCTTCTTATGGCTACTTTCAGTTTTAGTTGTTAAATACAATGAAGGACTGGATATCTATTCATATGGTTTTAAGAGATGTTTGATTCTAGTCAAGTGTTAAAATAGTATCTTAGACCTTAAGTTTGTATTATCTTACGATATTGCTCTAGCAAACCTTCTTTGCCAGTAATTAAAATGGGAACTGATAAACTAAGTGTACGATCTTTGTCTATTGAGAAAAAGAAAAAAGAAAAACTATTTAAGTCTAAAGTCTATTTGAAATTGTGGAATTGGATGTAAATAGTACCATGATACAATTTTTTATCCCGTAAAATAGCATTTTTGTGATCTTCATAAAATATAGCAGTCGTCTGACATCTTAGTGTTATCTTAGACTTTCCTCAGTAATGAATTTCATATTCGAAGTATTCACATGTCAGGGAGCTTGAATATATTTACCTTTATTTGTAATGGACAATCTTAAGTGTAATTAACCAATCTGTTTGAAAATTGGAAAGGAAAAGAAATGATAAAAGAGACCACAAAAGTTCAGAATCGAAAATATAATTCATTTCATTGTTTTTTTATTGTGTTTTAGTTAAGTTGTATGATTCATTTATTCAAATTCCTTGATAGAATTTTTTCAACTCATTATTCTGTTTTATAAAATATCTCATTGGGCAATATTTACTTTAGGTGTTTGATGAGCAACATTCTCCAACAATTGAAGCAGCCTTGCGGTTGCAACCCAGATGTAGTGAGAAAACCGAGAGAGATTCCGGACTTCTCTCATTTACAACCCGGCTGCTTGTACCTTCTTCACGAATTGGATGCCTTCTCGGTAAGGGCGGAGCTATTATCAATGAGATGAGGAATGTTACAAATGCTAACATACGTATCCTTGGAAAGGACAATGTTCCTAAAGTTGCAGCGGATGATGATGAGATGGTACAGGTAATAATGTATGGAAGAGTTTTTCCGATCTGTATTTGGGGTATTATTTTGGTTTCGGTTTTTACTGAACCTGCTAATTATGAATTTGGTTATATGCTCATGAACAGATCTCTGGGGAACTTGATGTCGCCAAGGATGCACTCATAGAAGTAAGCCGGAGGTTAAGGGACAATGTATTTGACCGAGATCGTGGTGCAGCCTCTGCTTATTTGCCAGTGCTACCCTATGTCCCTGTTTCAACTGATGTGCCAGATGACTTTCATTATGATGCCAGAGATAGTAGAAGGCTTGGACGCGGACATACTTATGCTGGTGGTTATGCCTTGAGTGATTATCCTGCCAGTGACACATATGGTAGTTACAGTAATTCACAGGTATCTTGTGTCATATATACTTGTAGTTATCTAACCATTCTATTTTACATTGATTCTTTTCCGTCTGATTGATGTGATCATTTGTTACTCTTTTAATGTTTCTTGTAGATCGGTGGTAGTGGTGGTCCATATGGACCCTATGGGAGTTATTCGTCTGCACGTGCAAGCACTTCTGGGTAAGATTTGACGTTGGAATTATAAAGCTCTGTAGTTTCTGACCTAGAATATGCTCTTGCAGCAACTGTTTGGCTTTTCGTGGAGCTTTTCTGCTCTAGAAGCCTAGCTAGACCCAACACTAGAAAACTTGGTCTCTAGATTTACAAAATTAACCCAGAGCATTTGGAGCCATTTAGGAGAACTTGTTTGCAGTATAGAATGTTATCTTTTATATTTAAGGAGAATATTCTTTTGCCATTTTGATCCATTAAATGAATTTATCTAAAAGCTCCTGTCACAAACTTCATCACGAGAGGCAACAGCTAGGCTTAGTAGAGCCATAATGTTCCACTTAAATCCTTGTTGATTTCTTTTCCCAATATTCATTGGTGTTGACCAACCCTGCCTTTGCGTTCTCCATTCTTTTACTCCAACCATAGGCAAATGAATATATATCCTGAAGGTAACTTCTTGTTTACCAGGTATTCTAACCATGCCCCGACAGCACGGCGTAGAAACCATTACTAGAATTCAACAATAGCCACATGGAGGTAGAATTGATTCTCCTTTTCTTTTTAATTTTGTTACTCTTTTCCCCTTGTCTATGAAAGCAGTTCTTATTTCTTATGATATTGGCCAATCAGACTCCTAGTGCCCCCTAGTTCCATTTGGTCAACCTATCATGTGTTGACCGTTCGAGGATTCTGATGCTCATATGTTACCGTGCTTGCCTTTTTCCGTCCCATAACAACAGCTGAGATCCTGAAGCCTGATGCCAGACCTACTTCCTCTTTTGATGAAGCCTACAGCCTTAAGCTGGAAGACCCCGGACATTGCCCTTGACGATCTCCCCTAGAGGAACCAAACATAGTCGAAGATCCTGAAACTTATCAAATCTGCCTTGTCCCTGACAACAAACCAAGCTATATGTGATTTGCTTCCAAGAACCTGTAGTTGCCTTACCTCTGTTGCTTTTGCTTTCAAACTGTTCGTTTTAATCTTGGAACCCTGTTGCTTCTAAGTCTATTCATTTTGGCTCTTGTACTCCAAAGCACTCTGTTTCTACCGCACTAGACCGTCCCTCTGATTCCCAGCCTTGAATGGGCTGGATTACCCCGTTCACTGTTCTGCTACTATGAGTACAATGTAAATCTAATGTTTTCTTGAATTGCAGAATGGATCCTTCCTTTCATCTTCATAATCATTCAGTAAGCTAGTCTTCTTCATTTAACTAGGAAGTTTGTCAATGAACAGAAGTTTGGTTTAGTATGGAGAATTTGTTCATCTGATACTAACGAGTGGTTTGTTGTAATGTATTCTGGTTAAAGTTCCCGTTGGTAATTACAGCACTCTAGCACTAGACAGTAGAACACCCAGAACCTGGGGGTTGTAGGTGCATTTAGTTGCTCCATCAGATGGTTTAATACGATCATGCCTGTATGTGTTTTGGTTACTTGCATGGATTATGTTTGGTTATTTCAGGGGAAGTTGATGACTCAATGGAGAAAGGCATGTTGTATCACATTGTGAACGTTAGTTAGCAAGCCTGGGGATTTGATAGTTGTTATTGATCTTCGGTTGGAGTTTTTTGTGTGTTCCTTAGATCCATGGTTCATATCATTATATGCCAGTTACCTGATATTTGGATACCTTGAGCAGGTTTTGGCCATTCCAGACGGGAGGAAATCTTCTCTTATCCTTTGTAAGAGAAGTATCTTTTTTTAACGTCAATCAGTGCGGAATGACTGAAGTCCTGAACAGGACGTTCACAGCATGAAAACTGTGCATGACTTGTCTGCTGTAGTTTTTTGGATTTTGGTTTGCTGCTATGAGTGTGTTTTGCAGGTTTTAATGACGTCTCCAGTTATCTGGATATATACATGCATGCCCGCTGAAATTTCCAAGTCGAAGGGGTAGTGGATAACAAGCTTCTCTCGCTTCATACAAGAATGGAAGGATGGTGTGGAGTTGTTTATGGGTATTTCATTGCTCTTTGCTTCGTCTTTCCCATGACGGAGTACTTGAACATCATTATATAGGAGGCTCGGGGGTATGAGATAGCTTGTTCCGAAGGTGGATCCCTTTTTGGATGCTTGGTCGTTGGTATCAGACGAGTCTTATAAATAACAAGGAATATGAGAAAGCTGAGGAGGACTACTCAACTAAGTCCGTTGATCTCTCTCTGGCCTTTGTTAGAGGGATGAGTTCCAATTTGCAGGCATCAACTGCTGTAGTAGGTATGGACTTGCTTTCGAGGTCGAAGTGAAAGCGAGTTACCATGAGTCTTAGTTAAGACTTAGTACATGGTGTATGTGTAACAACACTAGAGGTGTAGTTGCACTTGCTGCCAATATCCAGCCGTCCAGCTGGTCTAGAAATACAGTCAGTCTGTGTCATTCATAGGCTTTATATGTGTACGCAGGGCTGCCTATTGAAGAGTAAATTTGGCCACCCAACTCTCTGCTGTACGCACCTCTTTTTTTGTGTGTGGGAAAGCGGCTGTTCAACACTTCTTTCAATAGTCGTCGTTTTCGTTATCTTAGTTCTTGACTAATTGTATGTAAATGATCAATTGAAGCCTCCATCTTTTTTTGAATACCATCATTAGCTATTTCGGTCTCGAATCATATGTTACTACATGTCTGACTTGTCCTCAAGAGGACGGTAGAAAACTAGAAATCCAGATAGCTGCTCGCTCAAAGGCCATATCACACTTCTTATGATTTGATGAATTTGGTAACAAATCCTCGAAATGAAAGGATTTGGCACAGATACAACAATAAATGGAAGTTTGAGATGGTGATTTGCCTTCGAGGCGCTTTCATTTCACAGTTTTTACTTTTGAGCTATAGATCGACTGTGTGCCTGCAACTCCAGAAGGCTGGGAACTGTCACTTCTACGTAAAAAGTTGATGCTTATGCTTTTATATGAGCCCTCCACAGCTTCCAGGGGGCAAATCCTAGTGGACAAAGGACACCAATCTTATTAAGAAGCCTACTGTTACAGAAAAGGAAAGTCCCTCCACATTAATGTCTCCCTGTCGTCCTTCTACTGTATCAACTGTCTTATTAGCTCTTTCTCTTTCCACAGTTTTCATAAATGAAGACCAACCAGAAGTGAAGAGAGCATTTCTGGGCATGGGTATGGCTTCTTTATAAGTAGAATGAACTGAGCTGAAGGTAACCATTCATGCACATACACATTCATTCATCCAAATGGCCCTCTACCCGTTTTTGCTTCCAATCATCATCATCATCATCATCGTAGATGCTTGCATGTGGGAATGAGGGAGTTTTATCAATGTGGTGCAGCCAAGGATGACTTGCCGGCAGTACATATATATGCATTAGTCGGGAAATGAAGACCGGCCGGCAAGCCATCTCTGGCTACTCCACTCCCTTCTTCTCTCATGCTAGTTTCTCCGATGGCCATTCATACTCCGCGATCAACGTCGATTTATAATCATTAATCGTTACATTGATGCCATTTGCATATCGTTCATCCATGCCTAAACAGGAACGAACAAACAAACAACGAAGATCGAGCTTCTGTTTTCATGCTTACATAGCCACGTACACACGACACTCAGCTTTTCTTAATCTGTTGCTCATATATATTATTGACTGAAGGACACTATAACGAAGTATGAATTTGCAGGAAGATCAAGAACGCCAATGTCCAAGTCATGAAGCTCAAAATTGGATGCTACAACGGCAATACACAAGCAGGAAATATGGAAGCAAATTGGAAGTTTAACAGAAGACCGTTTGGAAATTAATAAACAGAGACCTGTCATACATAGTACACGCTTGAGGTAATTAGTAAAGAAGAGACAATGATTAACGTATGACCTAGCAAAAGCAGAGAGATCAGTTAGCTTTGGGTTTGACGACGGAGGTTGTTGTTGCTGAGTCGATGGAGTTGGTTTCGAGAGGATTAGGGATGAAACCTTCACCGACAAGCAATCCATACATGAGAACACAAAGAGCAGCTCCGATGCAGCTGCTTGGAGACACCATGCTCTGCGAATAAGCTCCCAGCGTCATCACCGCCCCTATCACTCCGATCACCGCCGCGGTCATCTTCTCGTTCATCCTTCTTGATTCCTGCCCTCTTTGACTTCGAAGCTTACAGGCTTTTTCTCAACCTAACGATGGGGATAGATAGAGAGGTAGAGAGATGGATGGATCTAGTTTCAGGTTTCAGAACCCATGTATGTAGTAATTAACCATTGACGAAAATGTAACAACTCGAAATAATGGAAGTCAACTGATCCTTTTTGCAGGCGCCCCATGGCTTCCCCGAAAGGTTGAATGAACCCAATTAATTTATATAATGAATTCGTTAATTACATTTATCATTACTTGCATTACAATAATAAATAAATTCAGCTTTGATGTTTTGTGTAAAACCCAACAAAACAAATCCGGCCGGTGCCTGTGCTAATCCTCATCGCTTAAAACATCCTGATCCTAGTGTAATTTAGGATGTTTGATCTCGTCTGCAAGTATGGATTGTGGCTTTTACCATTTTAGCACATCCTGAGCTCAATATGATACTTCATGTCTTCCACACGTTGTCTAAAGTTGAGTTTGGTTACTTGAAGGCCAACATCAGCGAATGAGATGACAAATCATAGCAAGTACTTGTGTAGAATGATCTAATTCAATATAAAATTGGATCAAATTGAGATGAATCATGATAGAAGGAGAATGTAAATTTAGGACCAAAATCAAATCAATAAATGCATTTGGTCCCCTTGGACCTTGGTCTAGTATTTTCTGAATTATTAAAATTTTCATGAAATTACATTGAATCTTAATTTTTGATTTCATCAAGTGTGCACCGAAAAGCAGGAATGACCATGTTTTCAAGAGAATCAAATTGACTAACCCAACCCTGCAACACTACGTGACTGCCAAGGCGAAAGACTGGAGACAGGCTTGGGAGTCCGGCTCTTTGTGTGCTGATCTTGCCTTCAAATGCCCCGTTCAGAGGTGTTAATAGGGTGGTCTGCGCCTAAACCAGGCTGGTAGAAATTAAATACGGATGGCGCTGCCCAAACGAACCCCGGAATGGCAATTGCAGGAGGAGTGATTCGCAATAGTTATGGTGACTGGATTGGAGGCTTTTGCAGCAAGATTGGCATAGGTACCTCCTTGTTAGCTGAATTATGGGCTATTACCATGGATTACAATTAGCTTGGCGCAAAGGAATTCCTTATCCTGGAATCTGACTCTCAAATGGCTATTGACTTGATTCACGAGCGGACTGATTCTGTTTATCTCTATGCAACCTTGCTGAACATGATCCGTCAGTTACTTGCTCAAGGGTGGTTGGTTCAAATAACGCATATGTACCGTGAAGGGAATAGAGTCGCGGACTGTGTTAGAAACAAGGTTTCTAACGGGTTTGATAATTGGGATTTAGGGATTTGAAGAATAGAATTAGGGATTAAGAAGTAGAATTTGGGGAAGAACGAGAAAGAATGGCCGACAGCCAGATTAGGGAAAGAAGAGAAATTGAGAGGATTTGGGAGAGAATAGGATTTAGAGATTTCCTTAATATCCTTCTTATTGATTCTGAATGGAAGCCCAAAGTACATATATATATATATAGGAAATAGTGGAAAACCCTAACAATAAACCTAATTCTATTAAATGACTACTAACCATAATAAGAATTACCTTATTAGTAATAATAATAATAAATATAGAAACCCTACCGAAATCGGTTTCTAACATCTCCTCCCCCTTCAAACCAACCTTGCCCTCAAGGTTGACCAACTTGACCCACTCTTCCCTCCTTTCCGCGTAATCCGCACTCCGATTCCTCCAATACTTGCGCTTCCGTTTCTTCCAATTGTGCTCCACTACTCGAATGAAGTCCACTCCCATGACTCCGACTCCAATGACCTCTTCCCAATTCACGTGGCTCAAATGGCAACCATGGCCAAATGACCCTTTATCCTCCTCAAACTCTACAAAATAAGAATCCTAGAGTTCTTCTTCTTGGAGCCCATCATCTAAGCCCATGAATCTACCTTTCTTCCCTTCCAAGTCCACATAATATAAGATAGACTCAACTAAACAACATAATTTGGGCTCAAGTTCTCCTTTAGGCCCCAACCCATAAGCTCCTTGAAAACTAAAGACTCTGCTCGGCCCAATCCCTTGCTCGGCCCACTTAACTCTTAAACTTTGCTTGCTCAACTGATCTGTCGGGCCCAGGATGACTCCAGCAGCCTTCATTTCCTCAGTTGGGTCCGGCCCAACTCCATCCAAAAGGCTCGGCCCAACTATAGTGGTTAAGGCCACTATATCCTTCTTTTTCTTCTGCCAGATTGCACAACCCAGCACCAACACCTCGTGAGGCCCAATTTCTGCCCTTAATTGGCCTGCCAAGACCCAGCTTTGTGACACACAAGTCGGCCCACGCGAAGCTTGACGCGGCCCATCTTCCTCTTGGAACCACCTGATCCCCTTGTTGTTCAGCTCATCGTAGGGTTCTTGCATAACACAAGTCTCTGCTCGAACCCATCTGTTCACACACGACCCAAATTGAGTTGGTCGGCCCATCGTCATCTGTTCTGGCCCGAGTGTTGGCCGCTGCGAGGGTTTGCACAGGAGAGATGAGCCGCCGTCTTCCATCCTCTGCTCGCTCGTTGTCCACCCCTTCCTCGGCGGTGATGGGCTCCTCGGGCGGCGGAAAAGCCAGACCACCTCCGACTGCAGTCCCAGCGGCGACTCCTTCTCGACCACCGACTCCGGCGAGACTTCCTTCTTAGGCGATGGACCCAAACAAATCTGCTCCGTCTCTTTCTCCCGATCCGCCCTCTCCTCTTTCTTTGGCGACGAATAATTCACTAGGCGGTGGCGATCCCAGCTCAATTCCGTTCTCCTCACCTCGATGTTCTCACTCGACTCCACCTCATTCTTCTCCGGCGATGGTTCCTCCTGCGACCCCCCCCCCCCCCCCCCCCCCCCCCCCCGCGTCTCCGCCGATGGAACTCGGCTCCCCATCTCCGCCTCTAACCTGTCCCTTCCTAACGGCGAATCGACGTTAGCCATCATCATTCGCGGCATGATCATTCCCGTCATGCTGGTCCCGGACTCCGCCTGCCTGGCCCCCGTCGCCGTGACTGGAGTTGCTGCCGAGTTGCCCTGACGATCCCTCATCGTTGTCTGCTCCAGCGGCACCAAGCAACGCATCCAGATGATGATATCGCGACGCTCGACTTCGGCCTCGACTCTCATAGCCTCTAGCTTACGATGGCCAGGAAATCCCTTCTTGACATTCTGCAGTGGCGGCCTCCCCCTGCCAGGCACTCTTTTCTTATATTTCCAATTTGGGTGATACCCTTGTTCCATCACTCAATGATTGGTGGTTGGTTCTTGCTCCGCGCCCGCAGCCTAAAGATCTTCTTGAGAGGCGATTTCTCTCTGGTTGTCGGCAATAGTGGCGGTAGAAACAAGGCCCCCTTCTTTTGCTTTAACAGCGATGTTATTCTTTTCTGCAGCCGCCGTCGCTGGCAACTGCTGAATTTCAGATGGCTTCTCAGCGTTGACGCGATGGCAGCGGTGATGTTGGTTGCTGGCGGGTCGGTCGCCACAAGCTCTTCCACGCCCGGCTGCACTATTCGCATCTCGTCGTCGTCGCCGTCCGAGTCAACCCGCACCACCGGCTTCTGCTCTTCTGCTGATGCGGGATTCCCGGCCGGCAACTGCTTTGTTGTCGCCTCTTCGTCGTGGTTGTGGTGCAGAGGGCCAGTGATTTTGGGAATTGTGATGATGAAATTGTTTTTCCCAAAACCAGCGCGATATTCGCCAAGGTTGCATATAGCTCTGAACCGAATAAACTTCTCGAATCGGATCCATCTATGTCCATCATCCAATGGCCGTTGTCCCGTTATTGCTAACACATCGGACCCAATCTTCTGCACTTCCACGTGCTCCTGCTCAAATCCAGGCAATGTGAAGAACATGATAACTCGACTTCGCAGATCCAATCTCATGATGTTGGGTATGAGTTCTTCATATACCCGTTCGTCCCCGGTTGAGAGTTGTGACGAACTCAGATCTTTGACCATGGCTCTGATACCAGATGTTAGAAACAAGGTTTCTAACGGGTTTGATAATTGGGATTTAGGGATTTGAAGAATAGAATTAGGGATTAAGAAGTAGAATTTGGGGAAGAACGAGAAAGAATGGCCGGCAGCCATATTAGGGAAAGAAGAGAAATTGAGAGGATTTGGGAGAGAATAGGGTTTAGGGATTTCCTTAATATGCTTCTTATTGATTCTGAATGGAAGCCCAAAGTACATATATATAGGAAATAGTGGAAAACCCTAACAATAAACCTAATTCTATTAAATGACTACTAACCATAATAAGAATTACCTTATTAGTAATAATAAAAATAACTATAGAAACCCTACCAAAATCGGTTTCTAACAGACTGGCTCTCGAAACACAGTCTCGTCTATCCCTTTGGTACGTATGAGTTAGATGAGCCACCATCGAATCTTGAGTGCGTTCTTCGAGAAGATGTATTGGGAATCAGCTTTCCTAAGCAAATTCCCCAAGATAGAGCTGCTGCATAATTCTTCTTTTTCGTTTGTATTCTATTTTGGAAGGTTGGAATAGCGTTGCTGCTGTGAGTAGGGATGGCAATGGGTCGGGTTTTGCCAAACTCAAACCCATGGGTTTATCCGTGAAAAAATTCGGGGTAAAACCCATTGGGTTTGAAAAACTCAAATCCAACCCAACCCGCTGGGTATCCGTGGGTTCATGGGTACCCACGGGTTTTTGTCGTAAAAAATTTACAATAACAAATTTCTATCAAAATTAAAGTCAAATATCAATCTTTCAATACAAATTATCCATATATAAAACACCATTCTAGAAAATTCAAGCAAATCACAAATTAACTATACAAATTGTTCAACACCAATCTAGAAAACTCAATAAAATTGAAGCAAATCACAAATTATCCATAAATAACATGATTAATTGAAAGCTTCTTCCTTTCAATTAAGTTTCTTCACTCTCCACTCGATGACATCAACTTCATTCTACACAATTAGAAAGAAAAAATTAGACATATCTCCACAAACATAAATAAGATTAGTTGTTTAGAATATTAGATATACCGAAAAAATTAACTATAAGAGTGTGGACGGGTACCCATGGGTCGGGTTTACCTAAACCCAAACTCAACCCAACCCGGTGAATAGTAAACGGGTTTAAACCAAAACCCGGCCCAAAATCCGTCAACACGAATTTTACCAGTATTGACCGAATTGAGTCGGGTGGGTACACGTGAGTTTGGGTTTTGTTGCCATCCCTAGCTGCGAGGAATAACCAATTCATGGGGTGGTTGGAATATTACCGGAGGAACTATAACGAATCCGGGTATTTGGAGTTATGAAGGTGTGGCTGCAGGCTGGACCTGTGTCTCTAAGAGAGTGTTTATCACTCTGTTTTGTAACTCCGGCTATCTTTTAGCCTCCAGCAATAAATAAATAAATAAATAAAAATGCGTGCACCGAAACATTGTATAAATAGCCAAAAAACTTAGTAGATGGAGTCATTTGGTAAGAGAACATAGTATAGGGACTGAATGAACAATTACATCAAACTGAAAGGCACAGAAGAAGGAAATTCGATGAAATTAGAGAAACAACTTCAGTGTGAGAACTGAGAATTGGCCGGCGATCGTGATTCGTGAGTATCTCCTGTTGGCACTCACACTCACACTCACATGCTCCAAATTATTCGCACTGGCAATCCCAGAAGAAAACCCCGACGATTCTCACTACTTCAACTTCTCTTCTCTGCCAAATCCCACTTCTCCGCCACTGCGCCTTCAGATATAGACTGTGTTGGCATTGCGCAATCGGTTATCTCCAAGGCTTCTTCTCTATTCCCCAACAGCAATAAAGGTAAAGTTCACAACTTTAGCTCTGGTCTTTCTCTCAAGCACCTACTTTGGGATATCTCCGATACAATACCTGATGTCGCGCGGAGGTTTCGTAGATTCCATAGTTTGCAACCCGAACATGTGCTTGAAATATTGTTGGGTTTTCAATTTGAATCTCGAATGGTTAATGTTAAGAAGGAAAAGGTTGAATCTTTGTGGGGGATATTCAATTTTGCGAGTAAGCAGGGTATATGGTTTAAGCACTTGCCCAGGTCGTGTGAGGCTATGGCCTCTTTACTCCTTCAGTCTGGGATGTTTACAGAGGTCCAGTTGTTGCTTTTGGAAGTGGAGAGACAAGGGGTTTCGTTGGATGGGAATGTGATTTATGATGGGTTGATTAGAGGGTATGTTGAAGCTAGTAAGCCAGAGAGAGCTGGTTTAGTGTATGAGAAGATGAGGGAGCAAGGCTTGGTCCCATCATCAATGTGTTATCATTGTCTTTTGAATCTTTTGGTGAGGATGAAGAGAAGCGAATTGGCTTTTCGGGTGTGTTTAGACATGGTCGAACTTCAGGTTGTTTTAGATGATGGCTTGAATGCTGGTTTGGAGAACGTTTGTAGATTACTTTGTGCGGATGAAATGATTAAGGAGGCAAGGAGGCTTGTGAAGAAGGCAATGGGTTTAGAATTTAAGCCGAGCAGCTTCCTTGTGAATGAGATAGCTCGTGGCTATTGCTCCAAACATGACTATGATGATTCTCTCCAGTTCTTCGCCAAGATGAAGTGTGCGCCAAGTGTTCTGATAGGGAACAAGATTATATGGAGCTTGTGCCACAATTTTGATGCTGAGAGTGCAAATTTGTTTAGGCTCGAAATGGAGCGGCTGGGCTTCATTCCTGATGATAAAAGTTTTGGGATTTTGATCGGTCAATGCTGCAAGGAAAGGAATTTAAGGGATGCTTTCTTGCATTTTTCTGAGATGGTTTCAAGAGGTTTAAAACCTGGTACTTTGTCTTACAATGCTCTTATTGGTGGTATGCTGAAGGAGGGCATGTGGGATCAAGCCGGTGTTATTCTTGATGAGATGATGGAGTCTGGAGTAACTCCTGGATTATCAACTTTTAGAATTCTCCTTGCGGGATACTTTAAAGCCAGACAATTTGAAGAAGCAAAGAAAATAGTTCATAAGATGGGGGAGATCGGCTTAGTTGCCCCATCTCCGGTTGAAGACCCACTTTCTAAAGCATTTCTTATCTTGGGATTCAATCCAGCCTCTGTGAGGTTTAAAAGGGACAATGGCTCGAGTTTTCTGAAGACAGAATTTCTCGACCAGCTTGGAAATGGACTGTATTTGGACATGGATATTAAGGAGTACAGAAACAAAGTTAAGCAAATCCTGGAAGATTCCCTGATTCCTGATTTCAATGTGCTTTTAAGGAAGGAACTTGATGATGGAAACTTCAGAGATGCTTTTTCCATTGTAGATGAAATGGTTCGATGGGGCCAGGAGCCAACTCCAGATGTCTTTGCTATATTGGTGAAGGGGCTTTGTGGATCCCGATCCCATATAAGATTGTGCAGCTTCCTCATTGAAAAAGTGCCCAGGTTTTTAAATCTGCTAAATGAAGAAGTTCTCAATTGTCTTGTTCAAGCATACTGTAAAATTGGATTGGCAGAGACAGCAAGGATAATTTTTGGTCAGATGATTCAAAGAAGTATGAGGATTGACAGTTCAAGCTTTACTGCTCTGATTACTGCATTATGCAAGAAGGGAAATTTGTCTGGTAATCTGCATGAGTGTTGGGACATTTCTCAGAACAGCAAATGGCTGCCACAGTTGAAAGACTTCAGCCGTGTTATTGAAGGTATCGGCTACCGGGGAATGCTGATGGAAGCAGTAGAGCTTCTAGAAAAATTGTTAGTCTTCCATTCTAACTCGAGGCCAGAGATTTATCGAATTTTCCTGGAGAAGCTTTCAGTTACTGGCTTGGCATCAATTGCTTGTTTGGTAGTGGAAGAACTAGAGAAACATGGATATATTGTGGATGACAGTACTTACAGTAATCTTGTAGCAGGGTTATACAAAGACCGGAAATATGCAGATGCGTACAAAATATTCAACCATGCTCTAACTAGAAGCTTGGTCCTCGGCTCGGATGGTTATGTAATTCTGATTCCTCAGCTGTGTATTGTCAGTGTTCAGAAATCTAATTTACTGGAAGTGACTGAACTAGGAAAAGATTTATCCTCTTCCTTTTCTTTCGTCAGAGCTCTACATAGAAGATTTGGTGTGCGAGGAAAGGTTGAAGAAGCAGCCAGTCTGCTGCAGGGTATACTGTCAAATGGGCTACTTCCAAATCCTGAAATTTGTGAAATTCTCTTCCAAGGATATTGCAAAGCAAGTAACCTGAGGAAAGCCAAAGAATTGCTTGGTATCCTGATGCGGAAAAGTTTAACCCTTTCAATACCGAGCTACCGAAATTGGGTCCGATTGATGTGTAGAGAGAGTAGGTACGATATGGCATTCAACATGAAGGACCTAATAACAGCAAGAGAGACCGCGTCTGATATCCTTGTGATTTACTATAACATTCTAGTTTTCTATCTACTGTCAGCAGGTAACAGATATCTTACAAGGAGCATTCTGAATGAAATGGAGGCGAAGAGCTTGCCCTTCAATGATGCCACTTATAACTTTCTTATTCATGGATTTTCCAAATGCAAAGATGTTTCTAGCTCTATTTACTACTTGTCTGCCATGGTTTCAATGGACCTTCAGCCAAGCTCCAGCAGCTTGAGAAGCTTAGTCTCCTGTCTACTCAAGCAAGACTATTTGAGTAAGGTCTTGGACTTGAGTCGACAAATGGAATCAAAAGGCTGGGTTCATGGTTCCATCCTTCAAAACGCAGTTGCAGAGCAGTTTCTTGTCCAAAATAAGTTTGAAGAAGCAGAGAATTTCCTGGATAGGGTTGTGGATAAAGGCTTAGCTCCAGATACCATTAATTATGACCGTCTAATCAAGCTATTTTGTTGGTATGGAAGAACAAGCAAAGCTGTTGATCTCCTGAACATAATGCTGAAGAAAAGAAATCTCCCAAACCCAAGAAGCTACGACTGCATAATTCAAAGTCTTTGCAAACGCAATAGAGTGAACGAAGCTCTCGATTTCCATGCCGAGCTGTTGGATATAGATGACGGTAAACCGAGCATTGAGACATGGAGTTTGTTGGTTCACAAGCTGTGTCAGGAAGGAAGAACCTCAGAAGCAGAAGAGCTTCTCCATGCCATGCTTGCAGCTGGAGAAATCCCCGGAAGAGAGATGTACTCTTGTGTGATTGAGAGTCACCGTTCAGAGAACAATCTAGGAAATGCTTCCGAGGTGATGGGAATGATGCAGAGAAGTGGATATGATCCAGATTTTGAGTCTCACTGGTCTTTGATCAGCAACTTGAGTACCAGTTCCATGGTGAAAGAGGCTGATAATGATAAGACAAGTGGTGGGTTCTTAACTGGGCTTCTGTTTGGCAGTGGCCATCCTGTCAGAACGAGAAGCAACCCTAATAAGATTAACAAACCTCTGTAAATGTTTGATAAGTTGAGTCCCTGTAAAGGATCATAGCTCGATAACTAGTATCCCATATCTCAGTATTAATTTCAGAGACTTTGACATGTTAATTAGATCAATTTCTTCCTGGAAGCTTTTCGTGCCCTTTTTGTTTTATTTCAGCAAATGCCAGCAGGTACAGTTGCCGAGTACAAACCGTGTCCTGGAACCAAATGGGGTTGGTTGGTTCAGTAAGTAGGGGAGGTGGTCGGATTTGTTCAATCTGGGAATCTCAATAATACCATTTCTGACCTAAACAACATAGAACTTGAACCTTTTTCGGAAAATTGAGGTAGCTCGAAATGATTACCTATTATTGGTGGTGTGGGTTATTTTCGAGTGGAGTTGTTAACGCTGCAGTTGGGCATATGATCTTACATCTTTGGGATACATAACTGTTGTAGTCGTTATAAAGTAGGCTTTTCTTTCTCAAAATGGCTTAGTTATTGATGAGATAAGACTGTTCCACAAAAGGGAAAAGAGAATAAAGAAAAGGATTGCTAAAGTGTCATTTCCATAATCTCCAGTCAATGTATGCTGTGAATTGTATAAATTATACCCATGCTAAGTCTTCACAACCATGCACATTCATTCAAACTTCATTAACACCACCTGCTTTAATCCTATAACCTCTAAGGAAAACCCATAAAGAGACCATCAGCTACCAAGATGAAGGCAGATGCTACAGTGGTGCTTGGTGAGCCAAAGGGTTATACCGCCCAGAAAGCTGGTGTGACACGAGGGATTGCCATTCTAGACTTCATCTTGAGGCTTGTTGGCTTCATTGGTACCTTGAGTAGTGCAATTATGATGGCGACGACAAACGAAACTCTTCCCTTCTTCACTCAGTTCATTCGTTTCAGGGCCGAGTACAATGACCTTCCAACATTCACGTAAGCATATTATCGTATATCTGTTCATCGTAATTGACCATATCCACTGTTTGCTTAAAGTGGGAATAAACGTATCTGGATGACCTCTGGGTTGCTGGCCAGGTTCTTTGTGGTAGCCAATGCTGCCGTGAGCGCCTATTTTCTTCTATCGCTTCCACTTTCAATCTTCAACATCCTGAGGAGCTCTGCAAAGAACAGTAGAATCATCCTTATCATAATTGATACGGTAATTATATTACTACATCTTAAGTTGGTTTTGATAGATTTGTATCTACGGAAATGCAAGAGTACTGAGAGTTTACCAAATTGTAGGGGATGCTGGCTTTACTGACAGCAGGGTCTTCAGCTGGGGCAGCCATTGTGTACTTGGCACACCGAGGTAATACGAAGGCCAACTGGCTAGCCATCTGCCAACAGTTCAACTCCTTCTGCGAGCGCATCTCAGGATCCTTGATAGGATCTTATGTTGGAGTCACCGTGTTCATAGTCCTGATACTACTGTCTGCTTCAGCCCTTGCTCGCCGCTAAAATAGAAAAAACAAGCATCGTTTACTTTTCAAGATGCAAATATGAATTGTGGGTTGTATGTTTGGTGTGTGTAGTGTGCTGTGTGAGTGTGATAAAGAAGATTTACAGCTTGTGTCAGGTTATGCTTTTCCTCTTTCTTCTTGAAAACTTGACTTTTGTGCATGTAAGTTTGTGTTACAATTCATTGAGATGATAGTTTCATAAGCAGAAAGACATTATTTGGACTACCAATTTATGTTCCATTTCAGCTAGAATGTTCCATCTTTTGCTTTTGGAACACTTCTAGTTTTGGATACACACTAGATTCAGTCCCCAAGCCAATGGCATCTGTGCATTTAACTGGACATAAACTTCCAATTATTCCCAGCAACTAACACTCAGATGAACCATAGTTGAAGCTGTTGGAACACAAACAATTGAACTACAGTGCAAAGAACTCGGCTTCGCAAATTTTCATTAAGCAGAACAAAACTTGACTTCACTTCTCCATTGCCAACAAATTTTATAATTGAAATATAGAGCAAAGAGCTCACTCTTGCAAAAAAAAAAATAAGTTGCTATAATTCTAATTAGTAAAGAGATTTAAGTTGCTATACCTGCAAGAACTTTGTGACACTCAACTCTCTGGAACATGGCTGCTTCTTGACCGAGATCGAAGCTTAATGACAGCTTTGTTATCGGGTTCGACAATGCTGTATCCAGGCTCTTTCCACACTCCATAATCATCCATTACCTGCCTTACCTTCTCAAACCCACCCCACTCACCTACTGCAGCATACATGTTGGAAAGCAACACGTAGTCTCCGCTCTCATCTCTTCTTAGCTTCATCAGTCTCTCGGTTGCACGCTTCCCAATTTCAATGTTTCCATGCAACGCACAAGCCCCAAGAAGGGTCCTCCAAATAATGCCATTCGGTTCAACATTCATTTTGTCAATGAACTGAAATGCTTCTGTCAATAACCCTGCACGCCCCAGCATGTCAACAATACACCCATAGTGCTTCATATTTGGAACTATACCATACTTATTTATCATCATATCAAAATAACTACGCCCCTTATCAACCTTCCCGGCATGACCACAAGCAATCAACACTTGAACAAAAGTGATCTCGTCTGGAGTAATTTTCCCCAATCTCAGCATCTCTTCAAACAACCGTATTGATTCCTCAGCATGCCCATTTCGAGCCAATCCTCCTATAACTGAATTCCATGAAGTAACATCCTTCTCTTTCATCCCTTGAAACACTTCAACTGCGCCTTTTATACTGCCACATTTAGCATACATGGATATTACAGCATTACCAAGTAAAACACCAAACTCTCTCTTGTTCACTTGAAAGATTGAGAAATGCAAACTCTTCCCGGTCTCCAGGTCCCCCAACTGTGAACAAGCCGATAGAAGGCTGAGCATTGTAACCTCGTCCGGATGTTCTCCAGCATTCCTCATCTCCTCAAACAACTTCAGAGCCTGATCATTCTGCCCAACATTGACATACCCTGCGATCATAGTGTTCCAAGTCACAACATCCCTCTTCGGGACTTGCTCAAAGAGCTCCCTTGCACTACCCATCTTCCCTCTCTTTGCATACCCAGTAATCATCACATTCCAAGACACCAAATCTTTAACTGGCATTTCAACAAACAGCTGCCGGGCGACATTCAAGTTCCCTCTCCTTGCATATCCTGCAATCAAAGCAGAGCAAGCAACAACATCCTTCTCCACCATATTATCAAAAATCGACCTTGCTACTCCTAGATCCCCGCAATTAGCATGAAAATAGAGAACCGTATTCCTCACAAAATTGTTTCCTCCAAACCCGAATCTCACCACCATCCCATGGACACAACTACCCATTTTCCTCCACTGAAGCCTCGTACAAGCTTTGACCAAGAAGGGAAACGTGAAATTATCAGGCTTTGCACCAGAACGCGCCATCACGTTATACACGGAAACAGTTCTCAGTGGGTTTTGGCTCTGAGCTGCTCCTCTCATCATGGTGTTGCACATAAAGGTGTCCGGGCCAGTAATTTGAGCGAACAGTTGGTGGGCGTAATCTATGGTGCCAGGAATTGCAATCGCACTCGCGAAAATGAGCTCTCTTAGAGCTCCTGGACTTGAGTTGAAACCTTTCACTAGTATAGAAGCATGAATTTGCTTCAGTAACCTTAAATTTGTGCAGGTTCGCCATAAGCTCCAACACTGCGCGCGGTTGGTGCTCCTGTCGTTGGTTCTCTTCCTTATCATCGCCCGTTAAACCGTTTAAGACCAGTCTCGTTAAGTCAGAGAAGCTTGCCTCTCTACATGGAGAGAACGTTGTTAACATTTAGAAGTGAAAAGATAGCAAGTATAAAAAAAATTGAAAAGGGGAGAATAGATTTGATTGAAGTTGCTCTAAAATTAAGGCAAAATACACTTATATAGCCATAACTTTCACGTTTTTTACAAATATAACCAAATCTATTCGAAAACACGAAATAGCCCAAAAAACGGAGGGTAGTGTGACAAATCTAGCCAAAACCGTTAGAAACTTTAACACCGTTTGTGACTCTGTTAAATCGTTTGACGAGATGCTGACGAGGATGCCAAATCATCGCACACGTCAGCCACAACTCAACCACACTTGCCACGTAAGTGCCATGTCAGATTTTAATATAAAAATAAATTAATTAATTAACTATTTAAAAAAAAAACTAACACATGAGATGAGGCAGGCTCCTTCCTCTCTATCCCTCTATCGAACTCTTCTCCCTCTCCTCCTCTCCTTCCTTACTCTCCACCTTCCACCACCAACCCCAACTCCCAAACCCATATCATCTCCTTCCACTCCGTCACTCCACCTTCCACCACCGACCCTGCTGACACCAGTTCTTCCTCCCAATCCACCCAGATCTAAAACTCCACTCGATTTTTGTTTTGATTTTGCAAAGCTTCAAAGCTTCAAAGAGGGGGGATGGGGGCGACTAGGAGATGCAGCCGTCGAATGGCGATGGCGACGATGTTAGAGAGTGGTATAAGATCCAACATAACCTTCTCCCAACAACTCGAGTTATTAGGACCAACTGATTTATGACGGGTCGGCGGCTCCTCGACAATGGTATCGAGCAATGGAGATGGGCGCTGGAGGCGGAAGAGAGAGGAGAGCCTGCTTGCCTCGCAAAAAATTGTTGTTGCCTACCTCCCACAAAATCCCCAATTACATGACCTCTGAAATTCCATAAGAAAGGGATGGGGATGGGCGCTGGAGGCAGAAGAGAGAGGAGAGCCGCAAAAGCCAACCACAACCGCCTGTCATCGATCTCATTAGGGAGAGGGAGGCTTGAGATTAGACTGCATTCTACCGTCGCCGTAAATCTCGTCCACTGTGAGAGGAAGATATGGTCGATGGGTGGTTGGAGAGGAGAGAGGAAGGAGAAGAAGAATGGTTTTCGGATGAGGAGAGAGCATCGAAGTTGATTGAGAGGGAAGCGAGCGACGGTGGACAGGGAAGGAAATGAAGCCCCGTCGTCCGTCTTGTTCGTGTGGTCGGAAGACGGAGAGATGAAGGTGGGAAAAGTGAGAGGAGATGAGGAAATGAATCGGTGGTCAACTGCGTTTGTTGGTTTTTAATTTTAATTTTTTTTCTGGTTAATCCACGTTGGTTGGTGGGGACAATAAATTGCCAACTAAACATTTTCCGTCAATCCAGTCATTTTATTAACTAACACCGTTACCAAAATGGACGGAATTGGCTATTTGTGGTTTTCGAATAGAAATGGTTATATTTGTCAAAAGTGTGAAAGTTATGGCTATACAAGGGTATTTTGCCTAAAATTAAATCATAAGCATGGTTGTCATGCCAGTGGTATGCCGGACGGTTGAACCAGGTTCAATTGGTGTCGGTCATGAAACCGGCTGAAATACCACCGGCATGATGATGCGGTCAAAATCAGTTAAAGCCGGTCAATTTCGGAAATACCAGTGATTCAACCGAAAGGATAATTTCCGATTTCTTATTATTACGACGTCGTTCTCGTTTCACAGACTGGGCAATTGGGATTCGCCCCACCAGTCATCGTTTTCGTTCCGCTTCTTTCCTTTGTGCTCCGCCTGCTCACTTTCTCCTAGCGACGAACTGATCACCGATACAACTTGGTAAGCATATTAAATGATACAAGTTAAATTGTAATTTAGAATTAGTATAGTATAGAAAGTGTGTAACTAGGATAATGTAGGTAGTTAAAGGTAAATTAACCAAGGTTGTTACGACAACAATGGTCTTCCCTTCTCTAGTTCTTAACTGTAAACTATAGTATAAATCCAGCTTCTCGATCTGGATTCGGTACGTTTTCTTTGATTGATTCAGTAATAAATAAGTGTATTCAGAAAACTAGCAAAGCAGACGCACGAGTCACGATGAAGGTCATACCGCTCTCATTTGAGCGCTCTCCAAAAAGCCTCTTTACTTCTTGTTCTAATTGAATGTTATGTGTTGATGTTCGATGAAGCAATCAAATTGCTTTTGGTTAGTGGAGGGGATAATGGGGAGGGGCATCCAGGGAAAGTGAGTAACGGATTCCACTCAATTAGGGTTACAGAATGGGGAACTTTCCCAATTCATATTTGTGTGAAATAGAACTTGAATTGGAATTACTGACCAGAGTTGAATTTGAGAAAAGATTAATGAGTTTAATTGAATTGATTTTATTTACATTCTATAAAGATTATTTAAAATTATGTTATTTAGATTTGTATTGAGGAATTTTGTTATGACCGGGATAAACTGACGCATGTACTGGTTGTACCACGGTAGAACCATTTCACTTGTGAAACCGGCGTACCGGTATAAACTGGTTTGACAACCTTGATCATAAGTGATAATATGTACACTTTCTTAGTAGATTTGTAAACAGCATTTGATCAACTATTGTACAAGTATGAATGCGTGACAAGTAGTGTTGCATTTGATCCCTAAAACCCTAGCTAAGAAACTGGAAAAAGTAGTATACAACAGGGGGCAGGAGGCAGCTTCGTAGTGTGGTGCGTAGTGATCGCTGACTCTGTTAATCTCGAAGCCAGTGAGATCATGGGGGCCAAGGTCGTGAAAGCGATGAAGGATTATGCAATCGTGGTAAGAGAAAATGCAGCGGCTGGAGGCTACTCCGAAAAAGTGTGCATTGCATTGACAGATCAACCTCCAACGTTCAATGGTATGGAATTCGAACTCTGGCATTGTAGTTAGTGTGCGGGTATGGATCTGTCACGAGATTGATGTCTAATTCTAATAAGATAACTGTAACACTATAAGATTAAACCTGATTACCCAAACAAATCGACACCTAATCATCTAGGATTTGTGATTGGCTGAGTTATGTGCCACCTGATCCCAAGCCCTGAAAGCAGAGTTGAAAACGTTCTTCAATCCGAACAAAAAACAATTATGGGGGCGAAAGAGACTGGCATTTATGAGCAGATGTTTGACACGCAAGCTACTCTAATGCGTGCTTTGCTAATTGCTATTTATGTTAATCATTGATCAACTTCTGGTTGGTGGGCTAACATATGAACATCAACCTGCTTTTAAGGCAGAGAGCACAAGGGATAAAGGATGGGATTGGGAGATAGATCCAAAAGTTTGACATTGCAACTCCCTTAAGTAATAAGGTTGATGTTGATTAAATCAATTAACAATAGCCACGTGTGAGATTTGGTAGACAAGACAGCTTTAATAATGTATTGAATTCGACTAAATGAAGGATTATCGTTCATTCATATTTTATGAGTGCCACAATCATTAAGTTGCGAACTAGGTGATTGAGGCGTATAAAGACAGTGCTGCTTACATCTTTACATACTCGATGGCGAAACCAAACTTGGTATGTCTCTAATAAAACAGTACATGTATGATGGTGTATGAGATTCAGGGATCTATTCCTAACATCAAACAAAGCTCAATAACTCCAAATCTCTTACCTAAGAAAACAATAATCTACAGATACAAAACACTGATATAAGTACTACACTTCACGATTCATATGGTACAAACCGCCTTAAAATAGTGTTATTTTAGATTCCAAATCTTGAGCTTACTTGAACGAGAAAGGGTAGTAAATCTATACAAATACAAATAGACCCAAAGTTGCTAGATAAATCTCTACCTCTAAGAAGATTCTGTATACTCTGTTTTCAGTAACTCCAGAGACAATCAAGGTTTAATATTCCTGCAGAAGTTGATGATGGGTCCTCTGAAACCTCGTAGGATGTGTGAAGCAGTTGATCATGGGTTGAAGACATATCACTATTATGTCCGGTTTCAACAGAAATCTCCTCTGGTTTCAAGCTTTCCGGCGTCTGCCATCCATTATTTTCCACCAACATCCTCAAAAGTGACTGTTCAGGCATCAACTGAGAACTTTGGTTGTGGAAATTTGCCATACCCATTGGAGAGATCGGGGAGATCATTGGAACAGAGGATTTTGGAAACTGAGTAGCGGCGGAACCATAGGCCAAATCTTGTTGGGTTCTATGGTCCTGCGTTGGGTTGGAGAAGCAGGGCACGTGGGAATTGTACGTAGAATTCCTGGTCTCTTCATGAGAAGAAGAACAAGAAGAATCCATCAGTGGAGGTAACTCCGATGGCTTCGTTTCTTCCCCGTTGGAGGTCATTCTTACAAGCCCAGAAATATGTACCTTCTTGCCTCCATCGCTCTTGTGGAAGATCCTACAGATCACCCACTCATTCTGCGAAACAATCGAATAAAGTAAGGAAAACAGATTTGAGTGAAAAACAAGTAAAAAACAGGGTGTGGGGAAAAGCAGGGGATGAGCAAGAAAGTCCGGACCTTGGCAGTTTTGGGAAGATTGTAGGCTGACAATCTGCCTTCCAGCCTGTACTCATGCATAACCCAATTAGTTTTTACACCCTTTGGAGCTCTCCCCTTGTAGAAAACCAATGTCTTCTTCATCCCCACAAGAACTTTAGCTCTGTAAATCTCTTTGTCTTTCCCCGTTGCTTTCCAGTACCCAGCTTCAGTAGCTCTGTTGGTTCTCAACCCAGTCGGGTACTTTCTGTCCCGAACGCAGAAAAAGTACCATTCTTTCTCTCCCATTTTAGCTCTCCCTTCAATCACCCGCAAACAAAAATAAGAAAACAGAGAGAAAAGAAAAAAACAGAGCAGGGGAAGAATAAGGAAAATCAATCAATTACTCACAAGGCAAATCCCAAGGCTCGCACTTGTTCAAGTCGACTTCACCAATCGCTCTAGCGCAGAATGAATCATCGATAACTTTTGGAGACAAGTAGTGGGTTATGAGCTCTTCGTCCGTTGGATGGAACCGAAAGCCTGCAGGCAACTCCATCTTCTCCTCCATGCCTAAAATTGACTGCTCTATTTTTCTTTTTCTAAAATGGAAGGAAAGCTCTTTTAGTGTGTGTGCTTTATAGACTCATGCAGAGGAGCAGAAGAAGACGGATTAGTAGTGAGAACACTGAACATAACCGCATAAAACTGTGCAAATTCTGTGTTTAGGAAGGAATTTGGAAGAAGTGGAATGTGAAAATCCTCTGGTGGTGGGGATAGGAAGTCAAAATGTAAGGCCAAAAGATGCTTTTGGATTTACACGTGTGATAGGCTCTGCTTGAAGACATTAAAATAAGCGGAACTTTGGGTGGGAAATTACCAACTCCCTCGAAGTGTCAGAGTTTCCAACCAGAGAGGAATTGACACGTTCATGTCCCCTATCGTGGTCTCATGCTGAGCCGGAAGGAAGCAGGGCCCCATAGTCAAGCAGAGCAGCTGCCACCGCGTCGCTTTGGGTCAGAAGTCAACTTGCTGCTAACGAAAGAAAGAAGGAAATGGAAGACAGAAGAAAGATGGAAGAAGGAAGTTAGGCTGGGTTTGGAAGCAACCAATTGGGCCATATGGAATGTGGGGTTTGGTTCCGATCTCATCCTCCGTCGGCAATGGCGGCAGTATCAAATCTCCATTTATTCCACTCTCTGGGACTGCATACAATTTTTAATTGCATCTCTACATCTGATGTGATTGATTAGCCATTATGGTGGGGGGTGGTGCTATGGTTCGAGCACATGAGGTGGTCCATATCCGGTCCGAGGACGCGATGGTTGGTGCCTGAGTGTGCGATGATTGGAGTTTCTACTAATTTTGTCGTAGAGGGGATGACGAAGACGGGTTCTTGGAGATGATGAGGTTATTACTTGGCGTTGAAACACGAGGTTTGCTGTTGGTGTTTGTTTCGGCTTGATACTAAGAATTTTTCGTTAGTAGTACAGGGTGTTAAAACACTCTTAGAACGAAAATATACATGCTATATATGTTGACATATTCGTAAGTTTTTGTTTTTGTTTTTTTTTTGTTTTGATACATTCGTCGTGAGTCAAATAGGTTAGCTCTCACCTATAGTGACAAAACAAAACCATTTTCTTTCTTCTTGGATGGGTTTATCGACTTTGACGTTTGTTCACGATCCATGTCTTCTAATTGAAGTTTTACTTTTAGTGATTGCCCAATAATTCCCTTCGTCGTAAGGCAAATAGGTTAGTTTTCTCATTTCCTCCTTTCTATCAGTCTCGTGTCCCCTTGCTACTCGGATGTTCAACAACCCCCCCCCCCCCTTCTCTCATAGCAAAACGAGCTCTTTTATCGGGAGTTCAGCTGCATACGGACTACCGTTCTTTGTTAGTCTCTATCTTGTAATTGTATTATCCCGCGCCATGCCCTGGGAGCTTATTTTGGATTAAAAGAAAATAACAAATATTTCTTTAAAATAACTTGTAGGTCTCATTATTTAAAAAAAAATATCAAGTTGCAATTAAGATAGTTGTCACTCAAATTCACATCTTAATCGATCACAAAAAAGTTAGATGGAGATTAGGTGGTGATAAGCCCCAGAAAGTGGGAGGTATTGATTGAATTTAGGCAAACGATAGATGTGTGGTTTCGTATTAGCTTCACAATTCTGCCCCAAATCAAAATAATTAAGAAAAAGGAATTCAAAGATCAATTAGAGAGCACAAAAACAACTACCCCATCGATGCATGTACTTATCTTATCTTTCTGCTTCGTTGATTAAGATAGTTACTGTTTACACCTAAATGGAGAAAGGGTTGCAGAAAGCTTTTGGGCTTGTTTAACCTAAAATGGGTTTGATCATTATAATTAATTGTATCTAATCACAGTCTCAAATTTTTAAGCATTATTCAGTGTGTTTGTAGTTTTGATAAAAGAAGGCTTTGATGTACCAAATTATCATGTATTGCATCAGTTTGGAGTACGTGTGATGTGCCTTCCTTTGCCTCAATCTTTATCACTTACAGAAATCACGGGGGGAAGCGTTGAATAAGCAACCATTAAATTGGGCTACAATGACATTCCATGCCTTATTAAGCATTTTTAATCAAGTGTTCATCATCATTTGATTTTAGTATTATTAGTTAGCAAAGCTTAGATGACCGTGGCATGATGACTATATTGTCTACACCTGTGAGGTTGACACCTGACAAGGTCGAAAATGTAGAAATCGACGAGTTGGTAAACCAATTTCGTTAAGGTTGAAGTCTAACGAGTTCGTACGCTCGACTTAATCGCTATGCATCCCACGGGGTGACATCTAACGAGCTCGAACACACAAGTGCACGATCACGGGCAAAGAAAGTGACTAAGTGACCATTCGATAGCTTCAATGGCCCGACTTAAACGACTATACACGAATAATGTTGAACCTAGAAATAGAATAGAATCTAGAGAAGTCGAGGGAATTGGGGGTAATTGATGAATCCATGCAGGAGTCTAAAAGTCCAAGACAGAATCATAGCCCACCATGATATTACTTCAAACATTTGGCCCATGTTTACAGGTAGAGGCCTGAAGCCCGTAAAGTTGGCTTGATTGACTGGACCGAAATGGCTCACACAAGAAGCACTCCAACTGAAATCCAGATCAAACGCGGATTAGCACTTTCCCAAGTTAACTAAAACTCGTCTACGACCACTCTTCCAAAAAGCCAAAAGAACGAAGAAAAAACACCCAAAGAAACTAGCAAACACCTCATTCACACACTAGTTCTTCTTCTTCTTCCCTTCTCCTCTTATTATCATTAACTCGACATTCATTTATTAGTTACTTTTACACAGTCCTCATCAAGCATCCACAGTCTCTCCGGCAGTTTCTGCATCAGCGATAACAAACTCAGGCTGCTTCACCTTGCCGTTGATTCCACCGTCCAAGGCATTTGCTTCTCCAAGCGCCTTCAGTGCCAAATGAGCCGCCTTCTGGCCGGAGATCATCATCGCTCCAAATGTTGGTCCCTGCAATGCAAACCACGAATCAATCAAATCAACCCACCCAACCCAATTCGGTCCACCCGATTTGAATCGGAATAAAATCACCAACCCACCAACAAAAATCCCCGAATTTCTTACCATTCTGGGAGCTCCATCGATCTCAGCAACTTCCATCCCAGTAACAATCATCCCGGGGACAACTTCCCTCGTCAGCCTAACGATCGCATCCTCGGCCGCGTTCATGTCGAGCGCCTTCATCCCTGGAACCTTGTCGATCATCCCGATGTCCATCAGCCTCTTCACCCCGGTGGCTCCGAACGGCCCGTCGTGGCCGCACGAGCTCACCACCACTTTCGCCTCCATCACGTTCGGGTCCATACACGACTGTGTGTCGTGGTTCATCGAAACCAACGCCCAGTTCGTCACCACGCCGCCTACTCTGCCTCCCTTCACGATCAGATCCTCCGCCGCAACGGCGTTGAACAGCTTCACGTTCGGCCGGGCCAGCAGCTTGCTCATGATCGTCGATGTGAACAGCGCCGCGTGCTTCATTTCCCAGATTGGGATCACAAAAAATTGAGGGACCATGGTTGCAATTAGATAAGTTACCAAATCAAGCATGCATTTGTCTAATAAGTATAATAGAGGGAGTAAATACGTAATTTAGTTATGTACATTTCTTTCAAAAGTCTATTTACCAATAGGTACCTTATTTTCTAATTGAGGTGTAAGTGACGCATGTAAATTAATAATTTAACTACCTTGATGACGACGTAGTCGTCCTGCTCGTCGTAGTCGACGCCGATCTCGTTGAGGAAGAGGTGTGCGGGCTTGCGGACGACCATGGCGGAGAACAGCTGGCCGCCGAGCCACGCGCCGCCTCCGGGGCTGACGGACTGCTCGATGATGGCGATCCGGATGTCGGGGTTCTTGCTGAGCTCGTAGGCGCAGGAGAGTCCGGCGGAGCCGGCGCCGACGATGACGACGTCGGTGTCGGCGTAGGTGAGCATGTCGGTCATGTATCGGCGGGTCATTTCGCGGGAGACGATGGATTCCTTGATCGGCGCGAACTTGAAGGAGTTCAGGTCGTAAGGCGGCGGGCTGGACATGGACATAGAGACGCCGGCAACAGATTTGATGGGTGCGAAGCGGGCGACGGCGGCCGGGATCGGAGCGCCATTGAAAGACGATTTGGTGTCGAGGAAAGGGGTTTTCAAGGTCGAGGTGATCGTCGCCGCCATGGGGATCAAATTGAGGTTGGGGAAAATCTAGCTTTAGATTCTACTAGGCGAATGTTTTCAGTGATGGTGAAGAGAGTTCAGTTCACAGGGGGGATTTATACAAACAGTTGGAGTGCATGGTGTGGGAGTGTGAGTGGGGAAGAAAAATATCTGAGGAGGAGATAGAGGTCGGACGGTGGAGAGCGATTCCCGGGGACTGAGTGCGGGTGGTGACGTGTCCATTTCTGGTTCCATTGGGTCGGGTGAGTCAGCTGTCTAGTCAGACTCGTGAATCCGTCTGTCACGGAAAACGACAAACGGAGTGGTGACAAAGACGAAGAAAATGGCGCGCATCATGTGAGTCCCATGACTCCGTCCGTTATAAATACGATGGTTTCCTTTTTTTCTTGTATGCTGTACGAATACGGTACAGTGACGTGTACGCGAATAATCCCGGCCGTTGGATTAGAAATGGCTCGCTGCCAGCGCCGTCCGATGAGGCGAGGAAGGTGTATTATTGTCGTTGGGCACCTGAGCTGCTACAAGTAGTACCAACAGCTGCCAGTCAGGCTGTATCTATCAATCAACGAAATATCCATTCCCACCCACAAAAGATAAGAAAATCCATGAAAGAGATCCTTCTTAGCTTTTTCTAAAGGTATAGCACAACTTGCAAATTATTTGGATTGAGGAGGTCCCTTGCAAAAGTAACAATGATTGCATTAGGGTGGCCGTTCGGTTACGGTTATCGGTTAACTGGTCGGTTAAACCAATAACTGGCCGGTTATCTACTAACCGGTAACCGAAGTAACCAAACTTCGATCGGTTATCGGAGACTGGACGAAATGATTTTTGGTCTTAAAAGTGGTTCGGTTAGCCGGTAACCGAGATAACCGAGAAACCGAAGCCTATTTCTGTCGGTTTTCGATAGAGGGGGTGTGTATTTCGGTTAACCGATAACTGGCCGATCGGTTACCGGTTATAACCGAAATAACCGAACTGCCACCCCTAGATTGCATTTTTTAAAAAAATCTATTGATTGAGATAAAGGTAACAATAACTGTGAGTTTTTTTTCTCTTCATTAGATCACTCCTCAAAAAGAGGAACAAACAAAGATCGGCAACCTTACAACAGAATTAATTTTATTACGAAATAAAGAAACAAAGTCGAACCTCAAACAAATGACGCGACAAGAACAGAGCCTGAATGACCACCAAATGAACCACTCTGTAACTATGGAACACAAACCATCAAACCCAAAACAGTACAAACTATGACACCCACAAAAACAACCCGAACAGCCTAACCCACACAATGAGCAAAGTCCACCATAACAGCTTGAGAACTGTGAGTTTTTTCGAATACTATGGGCTTCGTAGAACTATAAATGGACCTTTTTTTATAGGAACAGTACTGAAGTGGATGAATAGTTTATGAACGAATCCATGCAAGAAACCAAGCCCAAGACTAGCTACTGCCAATGAAGGCCCGACCGGAATCATAGCCCATCACCAGTTGTATATTTGGCGCCAACTGTCCACGCCACATTCAAGTTTCAACACCTAAACTCGCTAGAGCACTTCTACTATGCTATATAGTATTGGTGCTTTAATGTACAACTTAAAGTTGTACCATAACATTAAATGTATAAGTTTAGGTTGTACCATAAAGCAATTTGTACCATTATGTTATGGTACAACTTTACAACTTGAAGTTGTACCATCACATAAAAGTACAAGTTCAAGTTGTACCATAAAAGAATTTGTACAAAAAGTATAGGTACAATCTGAAGTTGTACCATAACGTAAATGTACAATTTTAAATTGTACCATAAAGGCAAAATCCTATAACACCAATACTATATAACATTGTAAAATTTCTCAACTCCCAATTCTTCAACATTAAATCAAAAGCCCAACCAAAGATTTTCGATTTACCCAAGATCATGAATATTGGATGCTCAAATCTCCCTATTTTGATCTCTATCTCGTCCTTCTAAGCAAAAAGAAATGAATTTCAATCGAATGGATGCTAATGCCTACTATCTATCATGCAATCTCTGTTCTTAGATATTTGGTTTGAAATTTATGTGTGTTGTTTAAAGAAGGAACCACTTAAAATACTAAAAACAAATAACATTTTCTTCGTCTTAGATGATAGGTCTATTTGAGAAAGTTGAAGTGCGTACGAATCGAGAAAATTTTAATATTATATCCGGAAGAACTATCAGAGTCCGCAATTTTAAATTTATACAAACTTTTTGAAGTTGTTTAGTGCTTACAGGGAAAAAAAAGAAACTTGAATTGATTATAAAAAGGTATAACACTCACCCATTAGTATGTAATGTAATCCATCATATTGAATCAAATTTCATAGAAGAGATAAAGGACCAACGAGTTTTACTGTTTCATGGAGTGTAAAGCATACTAAAGGTTTGATTATAGCTCGAATCGTTCCTTGTTGATGCTTCATTTAATTAAGCATTGCATTCAATTAGTTTCCATTCCGCATTTTTGTTGTTCACGATCCATTCGAGATTCATCTGCAAGACATCGACTATAAAACATCGATTTTATAGGTGACGGATTTTCTCCTCCATCGATTATAATATGTATGATAAACTAGTTAAAGTAAGCATGCATGGCTTGCTATTAAATATTAATGCATTGATTATATTGCACCCATTCTAGCTATAAAATAAAAATGAAGTATTTTATATATATATATATATCCGTCGGCACTTCCAACGACCTGTTGAAACCCACATGAATCATTATCAATAGGCCATGTATATATGTTGTACGATTTGCAGACAGTATCTGATTAATACACAACAAGTTCTCATGATATCTACCAACCTAATATAATAAACTAATCAGTGCATGGTTACACATATATACGGATTCGTTTGTGGAGGCAGGACAATTTATGATTTAACTTTATGTGCTAACACATTAATTTCAAAAATAAAATATCATTAGTATACAGCTCCACTCTCAACAATTTTTTAATCATTCTTTTACCTCCATTTTTCTGTTTATAACTAGGAATTAAATTTGTACCCACAAATGCGATTCCAGCAATCCTTCAATTTCCCGATCCAGTTAACGAGCAAATTTCCATATCGACCGCGGGTAAGTGACCGGTATCGGTAATACTCACAAAGTAAAAATAGTAGGTTGGGGATAATATGCATGTTTAGTTCTCTCCACCCTATTCTCATAAACGAAACCACCTCATATATAAATCCTGTACTGTACCTACACTCATTTGCGTGTTATATTCATCATTTATTTCTCCATCTTCCACTAGATTTAAATTTTAAAATAACTCTAAACAATACTTCCGTTTCATTTTTCAATTCCATCAACATATATATGCCTCCTTTTAACTCTAATTTCTCCTAAAAAAATACCATTTTAATTTGTTACGTTTCTCATACTTTTTGGGGTTATTTTATGATATATAATGTTTGTTGGACATTATAGCTATTGAGATTATATGTATGTTTAACTTAATTACATTAGTTGTAAATTGATTTCGGTCTGGATTTACAGAATGAAAATTCATTATCTAAAAATCTAGAGAAGGCTTAAGTTTACGAATTGAAAATGAAGTGGGGATTAATTTTAGCAAAAACCATCCAAAATCCATACCGACGTGGAACTGCCAAATGAGGACAAGTGTAATGAGGCTCATTGAATAGGGGTAATTAAAGGCAAAGGTTGGACCATACAAAGCTGGAGCTAGGGGGCCAATTATCAAAGCCAGAAATTAAATTGGGATGTCCCCTCAGCCTCATGGTCCTTCTTTTCTTCCCCTCCAATGTGATTTTGGATCTATGAAAGACATATGCTTAGCCTCTCTACCCCACCATCAACATTTAATTCATCTATAATAATAATAATAATAATAATAATAATTATTATTATTATTGTATGAACATGTTATATTCTCGGACTTGGTCTCTTAAAACAATCTCAGTTTTAATTGTATAACAATGAACGAACAAAAAAACGAGTAAACAAGTATGTGAAAGTCATTTACCACGTGTTATATTTTTTTCATGTTTTTGAAAACTAGATGGTATATTTTAAAAAAATTAATATAATGATCGTTTATGAGAACAATCTTCGGAATTGTGCTCTAATAAGCTGTAGATCTAGACTATATGTATTCATATTAAACATATAGTAGTGATTAATTAACATTCAAGACTTGATGATCAAAATCTAACTTTGTACAAAAGAATATATATTACTTACACTAGAAATCGAATATGTGGTCTACCATGAAATAATTAACACATCCATAATTTATCATCCTTTTTTTTTCTTCTTCTTCCAAATGGGTCCATTATTTTTGTCTTTTCCATCACCATATCAATGAAGATATTGAAAACAGTCCTCCCCACAACCCCACCTTATTAAATCTCCTCTCCATCTCCCTTCATGCAACTTTGCTTTCAAATGATTCATACACCAATCAATCAATCCAAATCCTTCACCGTTCGTTCCATATGCCACAGTAAGATGGAAGACAGAGCTATGGCCATGTATGTCACAATCCAAGTGTCAACATTTGTTGGCTTGATAATTTATTAAGTTTCCCCCCTTTCCCCTACTAGTAGAAACTGTACTTAACGTACAGTTAGTGTGACAGTTACGTGAGTAGCATTAGAGTATTCCGTCAATACAATCCAACTCATTACTTAGTTCACAAATTTACGTAAAAATATAAACGAAATTTCAATTGCAATAAAGACCTAATCGGATCTCTTTTTCTCCTTGTACTTGTTCGATCTTTTCCCACTACAACCCTGAAATTGTCCAGCGACAACGGCAGTTTCACTAGTTTTGATTCTACCAATTACAACTACAAGTGTAAAAAGAGCATTTTTCCCAGCTTTGAGTTATATTAAGAAACAAGTTTCCAAGTCGATTTGACAATCAGTTTGCTGATACTTGTTTAGTGGGAGATACGTTGAAAGAGACTTATTATTTAATAGTGTAGACAACCAGTTTGCTAATGCTTGGCTTAAAATGCTGCCTCCGCCACTGCAACGAGGAGCCATGCATTTTGTGTTAGAAGCTCTCATCGATTCTCTCTCGCATTTAGTGTATTTTTAGAATTTGTGTTGTGCAAATAGGATTGCTTTATCTTATAGCGAAAAGAACCCTATAGTGGACTTCACATCCCTCCCTCGTTTTTTTTTTTTTTTTTGTAAATGGCTAGCTTTCCTTTCTAGAATATAAACAAGATCACACAGCTTTTAAATTTGAACATTGTGTAAATTGTTTTTATGTTTTCATTAATCAAGCAAAGCAAGCCACAGTGCATATTTGTTGAGGTAAAGTTTTATATTAATACCTCTTTCTGTATGGTAAATGGACTACTGTGGGGGTGTAAAACTAAAATGACCTTAACTACTTGACCCTAAGGCCTTAGTCAGTCCAAGTGGCTGCTATTTCTTGCCAGTCTGCTAAATGAAATTCCCTTCAGGATAGGGAAAGGAGATGTGATTCAATAGTCAATACGACTCCAGTGTACAGTAGATTTAACAGATGGAATCGGGGGGGGAAAATATTTACTTTTTATCCGGAAGAGAATCATTTATGGTAGACCGCAGTTTAATGAATAAATATGGAAGAAATCTGGAATGATGAGCTTATATGGTAAAACTTGCAGGTCGGCCCATTAATTCACTGTTTGGTTTTTACCCCTGCAACGTAAACTACTGCTGTAACATCTGATACCTCGCCCAAAGGTGGAGCTCTGCAGATGCTGCTTTCCCAACGGATTGCTCTTTCGATCATCTTCATCTTCATCATCACAATCTTCTTCTTCTTCAGCTGGCCGATGATTTTGGGACCATATATATCTCCATTGATGCACAGAGAGAGAAAAATGGCAAAAGAATCATAAATGAGACAGTTAGATGAGGGTACGTAGTTATAACATTCTGCCCCTGACTATTTTGGCAATCGTTTGGCCTCCCTGTTGCTTTTGAGGACTTTGTTGACTTCCTTTATTTCTAAGGGTGAAATGGTACGTAGCTTCAAGATAACTTCATAAGGGGTTATTATGTACAGTTAGAATGTCATAATAAAGGTCGATTCACTATTCAAACTACTGGAATTTGTAGATAAGGAGTGTGTAATTTTGTGCCTCGTTACTTTGATTTCTTGTTAACTTATGTGCGATATAATAAAGGTCTTCCAAAATACGCATAAAAATGGTTGTATGCATGTCTTTTGGAGGTTGCTGACTTTACGATAATATTGCGAACCCAAAAGGCTATATTAACGAAAGGTAAAAAGAGGATAGTGTTTATCATAAATTGTATAGAGGTGGTAGGTACTAGGTAGAGAAAGGGAAGAGGTGAATCTTTATTTGCATGGTCAAAAAATTTAAAGGTAGGGGTGAAAATCTTTATTTTGCAGAAGATAACATGGAGGGTTTTCTCTTTTGTATATTGTGTGCTCACTTATTTCTAACATTATGTTTTTCTATTTATTGCTAGTTTGTGCATCAATTGTATATTCTTTGACAACGTACAAGTTAAAAGTTAGAGGTGAGAGTACAAGTTTCTTCATGGAGCCTAAATGTAAATCAAGGACAACCAACCATCACCTGTAATTTTGTTGTTGGAACCGGATAGCTACAGTAGTATGATATTATCTGATTTGAGTTAAACTCGCACAAATTTAATTTTGGGTATCCTTCCTAAAAAGACTCGTGCTAATAAGGTTAGTGGACACTAATATGTTATGGTTATTTTCCTTGCATTTTCGATGTGCTACTTAGATTGTACCATAACAATCCTCCTCTCAAGACAAATATCACGAACTTTGTGTCATTCTTTAGCGATTCTCTTGAACCGCCATACCATATATAGATCACCTTCGCATATACCAGACTAACGCGGATCTCCCTTGATCCACTAAACAGACGCAGATCTCAAATCACAATGTCATTGATTGAGGGTCCCATCGAATTGATATCATGTTTCACCACCCTAGACTGTATCCGTCCATACTCTGATGCCACTTGTTGAAATCGGATGGCTCCATTAGTACGATATTGTACGCTTTCGACTAAACCCACATGGATTTACTTTTGGGTATCTTATGTCTTCCACACAAGGCTAATTGTACTTATGAGTTTAGTAGACACTAATATACAAGAGTCATATTAAACATGCACAATCATTTTATTACGTGTGACCGACTTTTTTGTTTGTACCAAACACGGGTATTGTAGTTCAAATGCTTACATTGTGTAGCCACGAACAAGCTAAGTGATCTTTGTACAAGAAAGAGAAGCAAATTAAAATGGGTTTAAAGGGTCGATTTTCTTTGTTGTGGGCAATGGGATCGATGGCTACTGATGGTTATGGCTCCTTCACTCGTGTAGCATATGGAGCTTTAGGTGGACACAGTACTCTAACTTCCATCGACATTGATCAGCAACACTGTCATCAGCTGAATCATATGTTCTTTGAGAAATTAAGAAGGCGAAGAAAAAAAAACAGACAACTAGCTGGAATGGAATAGAATTGCTAGCTAGAGGTTGATCTAACATGATGAAACGACGCTGACCCCTCCCTCATCAGAGCCGACCGCCTTTTTCTGTGTTACATATGTGTTTGTCAATTGACATTAATTAATGACATAATTGATGCTAACCAATTATTTATATAGTCGGCATCACATAAAAATAGTAATTTCTTATGAGGCGAGTTATGGTGATAATTCAACAATTTCTTGATTCTTTTATATATATATATATATATATTAATTAAGCCCTAGTTTATTATTATTTTCTATATTAATATGATCTATTTGTTGATTTTGACTTCCTTTTGGTGTTTGTTTAGGAAATATTTTTATTGTCCTTGTGGGATAAGTTGTCATATTGTATAACTATATATATATTAAGAAGAAATCGTATAAACCGCTTATGATTTGAATGCTTCATCAACATATATGCTAAAACGATCATAGCGATCTTTGTGAAGTGGAGACAAATGAATTAAATTTGGGTGCACATCTATGTAGTAGGGGTCATGTTCTCTAGAAACATCATACATCTAAGGTCAACTTCCAATAAGATACGATCCTCATACCCATAATGATAGAGAATATGACTGATTGTTAATGTCTACTATCTAACTATATTACATGCTACAATTTGGTAATATGATATTATTCAAAGTAATATTTCTGCTCACTAACTTGTGACAGGAAAAAAAAAAAGATGATACAATGCAATATCTTTGTACATAATTTATTTTTTCGTGCAATTCCGTCAAATTATCACGCAATTCAACTTATATTTACTAAAGTAACTCATCTTTTTGTGTAATCTACTTATAACCACCAAATAGTCTTTTTCATTACATCTCATCAACCAATTATCGATCACACGAACAACTTGTTATGACTTGATATCGTCGTGGAATCAAGTTTTCTAACCAGCATACATGAACCACTTGAAACTGGACTATATATGTATGTGCCCAAAGAGAGACTAGACGAATACACATCTTTCTTGAAGTTGCGAGCCCAAAACTAAACAGTAAACGTACCTTGGTAATTATTGATCTAGGATTAATAAACCCAAGGTTATATAGTACCATTATTATCACTTTTAACAAGGAAATAAACATATAGCTGGATGGAAAAAAAGGCTACACATATATACGTGGAGGTGATTCTCCCAGTGGCTTTCGACAGATGTTCTTCAGAAAATCACTGCTGTGATGGTTGATCCCCTGTCTCCGGAGGCAGACCGTATCTTCTGGAAAGCTTCGGCTGATGGTCGCTTCACTACGAAGACTGCCTACCATTTGAGTCAGCCAGGGCGGTCAGAGCAGAACGACCAGATCTGGAAGGACATCTGGAAGCTTCCAACTCCAGAACGGGTCAGAGTTTTTGCCTGGCTGGTTTCTCTTGATCGGATTGCTACCAATGTGTTACGTTTTTGCAGGAGATGCAGTGACTCCCCGATGTGCGCCAGATGCGATGACATTCCCGAGACAGTGGTTCACGTTTTGCGCGACTGCCCGCCAGCTCGTTTTTGTTGGTCGCGGTGGGTTCCAGTTGACAGACAGATGGAGTTTTTTCACAGGGGGCAAGAAGACTGGCTTCGTAGCAATCTCAGTAACGAGGACAGGATGGAGTCTGGGCTTGCGTGGAATGAGTTCTTCAGCATTGCTATCTGGCTGATTTGGAAGAACAGGTGCACGGCGTGCTTCAAGGGGGTTGGCAAAGCCTTCACAGCTCCGACTTTGGCGCACTCGATTCAGCACAAATCCCTTCTTTGGCACAAGGCTTGGGAGGCGCCCTCTATTAAGCCAGGTCGGCCATCCTTGCAGGGGGATAAGATCACAGAACTGATCAGTTGGCACCCTCCGAGCTCAGGATGGCGCAAACTGAATATTGATGGAGCCTCAGCCGGGAACCCGGGGACGGCAGGGGCTGGTGGGGTGATCAGGGATGAGCAAGGGAGGTGGATTGCTGGCTTTGTGGCTAAGATTGGAGAAGCGACTGCAGTATTAGCAGAACTGTGGGCCTTTTATCATGGCTTGGACCTGGCTTGGAGAATTGGTTGCGACAGTCTGGTGATTGAGACCGACTCTCAGTTAGCTATCCAGTTGATAAACAACCGGCGAGACCCAGTGCACCCTTATGCCTCGCTGCTTGATGCTATCAGGAGGAAATTAGCTCAGAGTTGGCTGGTTAGGGTAGTTCATACGTATCGAGAAGGGAATAGAGTCGCGGACTGGCTCTCGAAGCACAGTCTCGTCTATCCCTACGGTACGCATGAACTCTCTGATCCGCCGAGGGAGCTTATCCAGATTCTTAGAGATGATGTTAGAGGTGTGTCTTTTGAGCGCCAAGTGAGTGCGCCTATTGTCATGTAATCCTCCCTCTTTCTTTCTTGGCCTCGGCCTCCCTTATTACAAAAAAAAAATATACGTGGAGGTGAAAGGTGTATAATAATGATGCCATGTGCAAAGTAATAATTTTCCTTTTTCTTTGGGAAGGAATCACAAGGAGAACCTTCAGTATTATTTATTTGACTGAACTTTCTTCCTCCCCCTTCTCCGCCCATCTTTTCATTTACTTACAGGCAGCCCAGCCAGCCAGCCAGCCATCATCTCCCCATCGCCCACTTCTCTCTCAATCTCTCCCCATCTGTCTTTCTTCCTATCTATCTTTCTTCATCCTCCTCCTCAGCAGCAGCAACAACTTAAGTTTAGGTAGCACACGTACCAGCTGCTTAGAGGCTTCTAGCTGCTGGTTTGGATTGGTGGAGTAGTTAGGTCGATAGGAGTATGGGAAGATCGCCATGCTGTGACAAAGTAGGGTTGAAGAAAGGGCCATGGACGCCTGAAGAGGATCAGATGCTCTTGGCTTACATCGAGGAGCACGGCCTTGGTAGCTGGCGAGCCTTGCCTGCCAAAGCAGGTAAGTGCTTGAGATTGTATATGGCTACCGATCGATGATCATAATGGAACTCTAATAATGTGTACGTACTTCTTGTATGATATATGTTATGTGTTTGTGAATTTTAAGGTCTACAACGGTGTGGGAAGAGCTGCAGGCTTAGATGGACAAACTATCTAAGGCCAGATATCAAAAGGGGTAAGTTCAGTTTGCAGGAAGAACAAACCATCATTCAACTCCATGCCCTCTTGGGTAACAGGTACATATATACACCCTTTCTTCTTCCTCTTCTTCATCTTCATTCCTTGGCAGTTGAGATTCTAAAATAACTATCATGTAAATTCATATATTTAGGTGAATTCATCGATTTTTTTTTTTTTGCCCAAATGATGAATTTTGAAGTATTCTAGGGTTGATGTGATCGTTTAACTCCTTGTAAAAATGTGTTGGGTTTTTTTTTTCCACACGAAAGTTGACTCTTCATCTCTTTTTTTCTCTACACTAAAATTATTACAACGTTCTTCATTAATCTGAATCATTCCAAATTTATAATCCAAATTGTGATTGAGCAGTCTCATTTTTCTTAGAAAGTCTTGTTTATTTGTCGGTTCATAATTTGCTCGTTCATTTATAAAAACAGTACCCAGAAACACTCTTTCTCTGTGTTTGTGTTAAGTATAGGTTCCATAAATTCGAGTAAGCTACAAGTGTGCCATCTACCTAGCTACAAGTCTTGTCTATTCCATCTTCCCATTTTATCTGAGTCCTACTCCATTCATTTAACCACCACTCTACTAGGTGATCACATGGAGAAATATACGTAAATACTGCTAAAAACAAAATTGATGTTAGCTAGCTAGCTACTACTTCCTCTCATTTATTACGACCGAAAGAAACTACTCCTACTCCTACTCCTACACTACACACATTGTCGAGCTGGCTGAGTTTATACTATTCTTCAACTCTCATTTACTTCTCACTCTGACGCCCACATCCCAATAATGCAAACTCGATCAAGTTGGCCCTCGGGTTTTCCACATGGTAAAAAAGTTTTTTTACACCGTTTGGTAACACAGGAAAAATGAATTTGTTTTTTTTTTTTTTTTTATATCCTTGATCTTCATCTTTCAGGTGGTCGGCCATTGCGACGCACTTACAAAAGAGAACGGACAACGAGATAAAGAACTACTGGAACACCCACCTGAAAAAGCGGCTGACCAAGATGGGGATCGACCCGGTGACTCACAAGCCGAAGAACGACGCCCTCCTCACCACCCAAGCCGGCTCCCACTACTCCAACAACTCCAAGAGCGCCGCCAACCTCAGCCACATGGCTCAGTGGGAGAGCGCTCGCCTCGAAGCCGAAGCCCGCCTCGTCCGCCAGTCCAAGCTCCGCTCCCACTCCTTGCTCGCCACCTTGGCAGCAGCAGCCGGTTCCACCTCATCAGCAACCGCCACGTCACTCAGCAGTATCAACGTCCACGTGGACCTAGAGTCTCCCACGTCAACTCTCTCCACCACCGCATTGCCGGGGAATCCGATTATTAGTAGTAGTCATGATCATCATGAAGATGATCGTTCTCCGTCAATCCCGCACATGTTCGAGTTCATCAAGGACATATCTCATCATCAACATGACGATGATGAGAGTGATGACTGGACAGTGTGCCAGCTGGCAGCTGATCATCATTCGTCAATAAATGATCATAATCATCATCATCACATTGCTGTTGCTAGTGGAGGTACGATTTCCTGCGGCAGCTCCATGGAAGCGGGGGGATGGACTCTCAATAATAAAGAGAGTAGTAATGGTGGTGGTGATGACGTGGCGGAGGAGGGTTTCATCAGTCTTTTGTTGTGTGATTCGTCGACGGCGGCAGGTGGCGATCATCAAGAGCACGGATGCAGCAGCGAGGTTAATAATAGCTCGGAGGTTAGTGGTGGTGGTGGTGGTGGTAGTGGTAACGATAAGAATAGTACTAATAAGGATTCGTCGGAGAACCACAGCGGGAGTACGACGACGACGACGGAGAATGAGCATGAGTATTACGAGGACAAGAATTACTGGAATAGTATTTTGAATTTGGTCGACAGTACTTCTTCTCCGTCTCCTGATGGTGATGATACTCCCATGTTTTAGCTAGGTTATCAATCGCCATTGTTATAACTATTTCGTGTTCCATAATTTCCAAGGTTTAAATTTCGTTGTCCGTTATTGTCTCCATTGTTGTTGATTGGAGGGGGTGAGTGAGTGAGTGAGATATTTCATGGAGGTGTGTATGCACGGCTGCTGGTACTGTGTAATAATTAAGCAGCTACCCACAATCACTATTCACTATTACCGTTTTTAATATTGGACCACTATGATTAATCAATTGATTTGGGGGTCCTAATTTTTGAAGTTTGTTTTCAAGTTTTTAATTTATTTTATATAACGATGTTTTCCGGGATTTTTTTTTACCTTATTGGAAATCAGGCTCCCCTGCTTTTATAACTAAAACGAGGGTAATTTTTGTTAAGTAAATAAGGGAAATGGATGGTTAACCAATTCAGAATTCAGATCTATGAAACAAGTAAATATTTGGAGAAGGATTCATTAGCTTTAGCTTTGGAACAATGGTTACCTAGTACTCCAAGGTAGTCTCCACTCTGCAGGTGGGCTTATGTTACGATCTGGCCCAATCAATGTAAGATTGCTGGATTTCAAACAATACCGAGCCCAATGTTGTCTCAAGCCCGCACAAGTTTCTTCTTCTGAATTCTTCCACCTTGATCTCTCGAGTAAGAAGGGTTTAACAATAAGTAAGGTCATGTTCAGGAGTAAAATAGTCTTATATGGCAGACCTATTAACACTCATAGTTGGTTTGCTTGTAGCCAGGGGCGGAGCTACGATTTCGTGACCGGAGGTCGAAAATAATTAAATAAAATGTAATGTAGTCAAGGTGGATCGAACCCGTGTGTTATAAAACACAAATCAAGTTTTGGTTACCATTAAATCACATGACTATTACACAACAAAATTTACGGAACAAGTTCTACTTATAAAATCTGTACTACATATCCTTACGATCCTAGAAGCCTGGACCAATCCGGGGGCACCCTAGCTTGAGCTCCGCTCCGCTCCTGCTTGTAGGATTTTTTTTAATGAGGGATATATGATTTTGGGATTATGTTGGAATTTGATATGTAGAATTGTTTGTTTGTTGGATTTTAAAATGAATTTATCGTTTTTGAATTTATTGGTTAAAAGATGAATTTACCTTCCTATCCTTAATGAAGTATTAATTGTTTTGTCCATATATAATTTGTTAGATAAGAAATTTACTCAACACTAGCACATTGCTCGCTCTCTATCCATGTTTTTTACTTTTAATAGTTTACAATTTATTTTTAATAGTTAGAAATGACCGCCACGTAAACAAAAGTTAACGGAATTGGACGAAGAGTGACCAAATGTGAACGATTTCAGTAAATTGAAGTACCACCAATGGATTTAAATATTTCGAATGATCAAACTTGAAAGTTTTTTGTAATCTCAGTGACCAATTAACCATTCATTTTCTACATATTTGTTTCCACTCTCCATTTTTCCAGAACTCTCCTCGTAACTTTATTGCCACCTGACGGAGACGCAGGTTCACTTGTTTGCGACAGTCCGATCTGATGAGGTGCTTCGTCCACAGAACTTCAGATGACTGCTTCCAATGGGTTAAGGACGTTATGGATGCCCAAAATGAAGAGGAGTATGAAATGTGGTGTGTAGCGCTTTGGTTTCTCTGGCGTGAACGAAATGCTCAGTTATTTAATGGCTCAAAGTTGAATGAACTCGACATCATCCCCAGGGCAAAGTTCTTCCTCGATGACTTTCGATCCCATCATGCTCGAGCGTCGGCACTCTCGGGGGAGGAGTTGCAATCGGGATGGCAACCACCGGGCGCTGGATATGGTTGTACGAGGTCCAAATGGGCAATTCCTTATGGCAGCTTCAAAGCGAATTCCTGGTCGCTGGTCGGTTGAAGAGGCAGAAACCATTGCAGCAGAGTTTGGAGTGCAGCTTGCGAAGCAACATCATCTTATGAATCCTATTTTGGAGACCGACAGCCTCGGCCTTGTTACAAAACTCCATGAAGCGGAACTGATCGAGTCGGAGACAGGGATCCGGTGCAGAAGCATTCGCCGCATTCTTGAAGACCTGGGACTGAATTCCTGGCAGCATGTTCGCCGTGAAGGAAATGCTGCTGCCCACCGAATGGCACAAGCAGAGACGCGGTGGAACGAACAGATTGTTTGGTTTGATAGTGTTAGAATATGACTTGAATTTGATTTGGGTTTGGGATTGGGTTTTGTTTGATCTTTTCCTTGTATGTTTGGGAAAAGGTATTTGGTTTTCTGTTTGGGATTAGGAGAAGAGTTCTATAAATACTCTTCATCACCCTAGTCTGTAGTAAGGTCAGTCAGATTAGTTTGTTTGGTTTGTCCGTTTGGAATTTGGTTTGTAACCTGTACTCTCCTCAAAATCAGTGAAATTTGTTCTCCCCTGCCCTTGGATTAGCTAGCACATATTGTGTTAGTAAACCACGTTAAAATTTGTGCTCGTTCGTGTTGGTTTGGATTATCGATTGCACGCTTCTGTTCTGACAAGTGGTATCAGAGCCTGGTTGTGGTTTTGGGAAGTTTGGGGTGGCACTGCAATTTTGGATTGCGCAGAGTAGCCATTGTTTGTTTTTGTGGTGGAGCTTTGGATTTGGCAGAATTTTGGTGGTTATCTTTGGGTGGTGATTAGGGTTTTTCAATCACCAAGGATGTTTGTTCTGAATTTGAAGATCGAGAAGTCAATTTGGAGTTGCAGGTTTGGAGTTGGAAGTAAATATGATGTTGGTGTTATCGATGGAAATAACACCAAGTTGGTTATGCATGGCAAGTCCCAACATGGGTTGGACTTGCTGCATGTTTTGATTTGTTGACCGCCCTTAGGGGCATCTGGAGGCATGGGAGATTCTGTTATAGCTGATTTGGAGGAGTTAGTACGTCTGGCAATTTTGATTGCATTTGAGTTTGGCGATTTTGCATCGCGTTTGAGTTTGGCGGTTTCGATCGCATTTGGATACGTCTGGCGATATGTATCGCGTCTGGGTACATCTGGCAACTTTGGTTGCGTCTGGGTACATCTGGCAACTTTGGTTGCGTTTGGCACATCTGGCAACTTTGGTTGCGTCTGGTACATCTGGTATTTGAGAGAGAATTCAAGTCAAGGTGAAGATTGTTAGAATATGACTTGAATTTGATTTGGGTTTGTTTTGTGTTTTAGGCCTATTCTGTTTGGGTTTGGGATTGGGTTTTGTTTGAACTTTTCCTTGTATGTTTGGGAAAAGGTATTTGGTTTTCTGTTTGGGATTAGGAGAAGAGTTCTATAAATACTCTTCATCACCCTAGTCTGTAGTAAGGTCAGTCAGGTTAGTTTGTTTGGTTTGTCCGTTTGGAATTTGGTTTGTAACCTGTACTCTCCTCAAAATCAGTGAAATTTGTTCTCTCCTGCCCGTGGATTAGCTAGCACACATTGTGTTAGTAAACCACGTTAAATTTATGCTCGTTCGTGTTGGTTTGGATTATCGATTGCACGCTTCTGTTCTGACAGATAGGCCTCCTCCGTTTTTAGTTAACCAATTAACGCTGGACGCTGTAACCGCTTATATTGGTTAATAAGAGAAGTCGCAGATTCCCATAAAAAAAACTTTATTGCCATATTATATTTTTTTCATATTTTCTCATAACTTCTCATTCTATACCATTCTTCCCTTTATTTTCTACTTTTGTTTTAGTCTCAATATTGATACTAAATGGGAACTAAGGAAGTAAATAAACACATCTCTATTTTTTATTGTCAACTTTAATGATTTTTTCAGGCTTACCAACTAAACATGTTTCTATTTTTATTTTTATTTTCATGTTGTTGTACCTCTATTGTCACAAAAGCATTCAAAATCGAAATTTTACGTAAAAAAAATGGGAGTAAAATTCGAATTGTAAAATCGTATGATTTTAATGTTCATATAAAAACGAAGACAAGATAATGTTAATAAGGTAAATCACGAATAATACAAAGACACATAACACTTACAAAGATAATTTATCAATGTTAATGTTCCAATTTATCAAGGATAATGTTGGAAATTGGTGAATCGGTGAATGGTGATGATTAATGCATTGATATGAGTTGATGATGGTCAATGGGGTTTAGTGAGAGAGAACTAGATGATTTTAATGGAGGAGAAGAACAAAAGCGTTATATTTTGCTAATTTTGGGAGAAATTAGTAAAACTTACTCAAAGATTTGATATTATTCATATAACTCGGTTCGAGTTGGTCTAATTTCAATTAATTCATCATAGACCACAAAATGGTTAAAATCTTTGAAAATCATTAGATTTAAAGGATTAAAATCGTGAATAGTATAAGATTTTAAGGTCCATAAATTTTATAGTGAAATCGAAATTGGGACATGTAAGTAATATTATAAAGGCGTAAAATTTTAGCATTTAAATTGAAATCTTAACTAAACTCACATCATAATCATAAGAACTCTAACGCTAGTAGCACAAATCCCCCTCTTGATCAATGATGTATAATTATAACATATATATCTCTATGTATGTATCTATCAAGCCCAGATCTCATATGATTTGATCCGAATCTGGTACGCCAGCAGATTTATATTTCTTAAGGCCAAAGGGAATGTATGTCTACAAATTAATTTCTCAAGCATGCCCTACCGTACCCACTTGGTAGACAAGAGAGAATTCTTTGGTTGGCGTATTTTGCGGGCAATTCACATGCTAAGATCCAAGATTAGGGAACACTGATTGCCAATTGATTATTAGTATTATAAGTCTAAATCAAGTACAATTTTAGAAAGGATTTTCCAGTTACAATTTCATTCCCTTTTCTGCTTCCTTCAACACATCTCCATCAACTTTGTTGAATATTAATGAACAATAATGTAAATATATGACAAGTGCTCTAACAAATACAGTTTCGTTTTGTCTCTCCCATTGTCACACTGTATATATTCATGTGAATTGAGTCTCAATTTGTTGATCTTGAAAGATGTTCAATGATTAAAAAACTGATCCGTACTGGTGATTCGACCAAAAAAAATATATCGGAAGCGAAACCTGTAGGCAGTGTTTAGCGGTACAAAACGGCTGAACCACGGTTTCAACATAAAATACCCTATCATTGACTTTTTCGGTACATTATCTGGTACAGTATTTTAATCATTGATTTTTTTGCGAGGAGGTTAATATTTACCAATAAAAACAATTTATTGTAAGCCTGAAATAAAATGTCCTTCTTGATCGTTCAATACATCTAGGGTTAACCACGACAGTCCACTCACTTCATATTTAACCACTCGACTTGCTGTGTTACACCGAGATAAAAATACGTACAAAATACATGTAACAATTGTTTAATAGTTCACCAGAAAGATAAAAACGAAGACAAGAAAGAGCAAATATTTCATTTGATCCATATTATTCAAGCTGGATTATTTAGGTTTGTAGAATAATTACCCATGCAGATGACCTGAGAAAAAAACCTGTATGCCTATAATCACTTGTTATCGTGATAATAATAACTTAGTTGAACGAATATATAAACGGAGCACATATTTTACATACAATTATTTTTAGATAAGGGTGACATATAGGATAGGAAATTGAATTAATGACCCTTATGGGCTACGGTCATCCGCTAGTAAATTGGCCTTCTAAAACATACTGTTACGTTTTTGTCTTTATCATTGTCGCAACACTACACTCATGTGTGTGAATGTGTGGTCTTTTGTTTCATCCATTTGTATAATTGCTAGATTCCAATGGCACAAACAACTGCCCAAACCATTTACAGATTGGCAAAACCGCTTTTATTTGTGTGTGCATGTATAAGTACGAAATTAAAGTCAGTAGCTAAACCATAGACTGATTGGGTTTTTACTGTATCGCTTAATTAATAGGGGTAAGTAGAGGAGAGTATGTCGCCATTAGGCAACCACTTGCTTGCTTGCTTGGATGGCTTAATCCCAAAAAGCACCAAATAAACCATACATACCTCTGTTGAAAGAAAAGGAGTAGAAAACGACCCGCGCGCAATAAAGCCAAATTGGGTTTAATTATTGACTAATGCAAATCTAATCAAGGCATAACTCATTATCAGTCGATCGAATCTTGTGGAATAACGATGGAGATTTATTTATTTTATGTATTCAAAAGGAATTACAGTTGTGTATGTGTTGGCCTGCCCACAACACGACAGATTCTCTTTTCTAGCCCTATATAGTAATGTGATTCCTGAAGTAAAATCTTATTGCTCTTCCAGTCTTTCTTCTGTGCTTCAATTACGTACTCAAGAAGAGGAAGGGAACCCAAGAGAGAATCTTTTTCTCTTTCTCTCCCTCCGAGGGCTATATCTCACGTGCAAATTTCTGCAGCTCTTTTGGTTCTTTATTTCCCCTTGAAAAGCTGTCCACCTTTTCCCCTTCTACTTCTTCTTCTTCTTCTTCTTCTTCTCTCAGCTTAGTCTTAGCTAAGCCTTGTTGGTTCTCTTCTTCGTCGCTGTAGGTAGCTAATTTTGTAAGGTTGCTGCTTGTTGGGCGCAGTAGTTGGTTTTTGTTCATATATGCTCTCTTGTTTGACTACTGTTTTCCCTGTCTCTCTGCCTCCATTATCGTGACGCAAGCAAACCCCACCTTTTCTTTCCCTGTCTTATTGCCCGAAAGGTGTTCGATCTTTTGCCTCTAAGAAAGTAAGAACCAAAACCTCTCTCCGATCCCCATGGCGCTGGAAGCGGCGATCTTCTCGCAAGACCCCTTTGGTTACCCACCATTATTCAACGACTACTATGACATCGACGACAAAATAATGTTCAACGATTCCATCACCACCACTACTCCCGCGCCTACGCAGCAGCAGCAGCCGATTCATGGAACCAGCAGCAGCTGCTGGGATTGTTGTTGTTATTACAATTACAATAATAATCACCACCACTCTTCCTCCTCCCCCGAGCCTTGCAGAGTTTCACTACTACCGCCGTCAGCCGGCGATTATTTCTACCCGCCACCACCGGAAGATGTGGCGGCGTCCACGCCCATTGCACCGGCACGGCGGAAGCGGCGGCGGACAAAGAACACGAAGAACGAAGAGGAGATAGAGAGCCAGAGGATGACTCACATCGCGGTGGAGCGCAACCGGAGGAAACAGATGAACGAATACCTCGCCTTGCTTCGCTCTCTCATGCCCTCTTCCTACGTTCAAAGGGTCAGCTTTTTGTTTAATTCTATTCTTCCCTCCGGCTTGAATCCTTAATTTTTTTTTTTTAAATGTGGGACTAAACTGTAAATTTTTATACTTTCTGGGGATCAGGGAGACCAAGCTTCGATAATTGGAGGAGCAATTAATTATGTGAAGGAGCTGGAGCAGCTGCTGCAGGCCATGGAAGCTCAGAAAACGTCACATCATCAACAACATGCTCAAAACGACGACGATCAGGCAGGGTTGACTGACAACGGCCGTTCGCCGTCGCCGTTATTTTCCGAGTTCTTCGCCTTTCCACAGTACTCAACTCGGAACCGGACCGTGCAGGCTCAGTCGTCGCCGGTAGCTTCTGGCGACGGGATGGCCGGCAGTTTGGGTGGTGTAGTAGCGAGGGAGGCGGCGGTTGGAGAGATTGAAGTGACGATGGTGGAGTGTCACGCTAACGTGAAGATTCTGGTCAGGAAACAACACAGACAGCTGGTGAAGCTGGTTGCTGGGCTGCAGGGACTCGGGTTCACCATTCTTCACCTCAATGTTACCACGACGGCGGCCTCAGATCAAATGGTTCTTTACACCGTTAGCTTCAAGGTGGAGGAAGGGTGTTTTTTGAACACGGTGGATGAGATCGCAGCTGCCGTCAACCAAATGCTACGGCGGATTATTGAAGAAGGAAGTTGCTATCAAGAATGCTATAGCTAGGTAGCTGCTTATAATTATTTTGATTTTGGTCGTGGTGAATTTACTTTGCGTTGTTTTCTTAGCAATAGTAATACCTCTATTATTATTATTACGTGGACATTGTTGGGAATCTGTTAACAAAGTTAATAGTGAAGGGTATTTTCTTTTTATGGTTAAATAGTGAAGGTTTTAGGTTTGTCTATTAGCTAAAAAAATTCACGGTATACTATAAACGCATTTTTATTTAGTTAGTAATTAACCAAATATCATTCCAACTTGTTTGTTTAAAAGTGGGTATAGAGAAAGTGTTAAATTTATTTTGGGGAGACAGCATATACTCTCATCAGGGCTTTTTTTTCAACAATAAAAACAAGCTAATTTTGTCCCATTGGGAATTTGGTTTGTGTGGAGAACTGACTATGCACCAGAGAGGACTGGGCCAAACATAATTAGTTTATTTGTAAATATAACAACTTGTTGCAACAGAATTTTTAGTTAATTAACTGAATTGTGTATATTTATCGGAGGGAGATGATGATAAATACTCAATTCCTAAAAGTACGTGAAGAATCTTATACATCCAGGTTTCCACCGTGTCATCATCATACCATGGTCGGCGTCTCGGCGGCCAGGTCCCAGGTGGCCTCTTTGACGTCTAGGTCCAGCTGATCTTTCACTTCAATTATGTATCAAGCTTAGGTTTCCGGTCTACCGGCGGGATGAAAATGAAATAGACAACAATATTATGTGCAATAATCAGGTTGACAGAGTTATCTATTTGTTTTATTTTATGTCTCATGCTTGCTTTGAATTTGTGACATATACCACCTATTCGAATAGTGATTCATCTAGACTTCGATGAATAAAATGTGAGGCTTCTCACATTATAGCGTAGATCTTTCTCAACAATATACCGCTCATCTTACGATCACAAGAATGCCTTCATATCAATCATAGTAATTAGAAAAATACGGTACGAAAAAGTTACGTATAAAGTACGTACGAGTATTTTATTTCATCTCTAAACTAATATTACATTTAATATATAGTACGCTAACAGTCATAAATATATAAAATTAATTATTAAAAAATAATAATAGTAAAGTGAACAAATTTATTCATTAAATACATATATTAAACGTATTATACGAGTTTTATACGCATTTAGTACGCGAGCCATCAAATCAAATGAACAGAAAAAAATGAAACGGATGACAATAACACGGATATGAAAGTTTTAAACGAATAAATTACATACAAGTAATTATAAGTGTATTAAACGGAGTATTTACTAACTATGATACCAATAGCCAAATCCAATCCTCTCTCAGTATGTTCCTTAAAAAATCCGATTCGTGCAGATTATTACTCCAACTAAGGAAGAGATCTTGGCGAAATTGCCAAGTATGAAATTGAGCACAATTTTGCAAAGAAATAGTCCAGCACCAGATGCGTCGATAAAAAATCATGATTGATAACAATTGAATAAGAATATCTGATCTTTTGACGTGGAAGTTCACACTCTAATACTACTAAGCGTTGCTCTTAGTCTTAGTCATATAACTGGAAGTTGTAACATATCTATGATCAAGCCAGATCTCATGTGATCTGATCCAAACCAGGTAGGCCAGCAGATTTATATTTCTTAAGGGGAAAGGGGAATATGTATGTCTACAAATTAATTTAATTCTCATGCATGCCCTACCGAACCCACTTGGTAGGCAAGATCAGAATTCTTCGGTTGGCGTATTATGCAGGCGATTCACATGCTAAGAACCATGATTAGGGTACACTGATTACCAAATTGACTAATTAATCAAGTCTAAATCATATACCATTTCAGAAAGGATTCCCTATTATAATTCTATTCCCTTTTCTGCTAGCTTCATCCAACATCTCTATCGACTTTGCTGATGTTAATTAATATGTAATGTAATCATATATATGTGACAAGTGCTCTTAGAAAGCTAATATTCGTTCGAGGATGTATGGAGAATAATTATGCATGCAGATGCAGTAGCAAAACCCTCCCTAATTAAATCAAGATTCTGTGTCTCAGTTGATTAAGGTTAGCTTTAATAGGGGACAATTGAAAATTAGGGCAATAATCGGTTTGGTTTCGGTTAATCATTAACTGATATGACAGTTAGAGGTTAATTAATAAGTAAAAATACTCATACAGATAACCGAACCAATAAGTCTTATTGGTTAACCGTCTTTTATCGGTTCAATTAGCGGTGGCAGTTAACCAATAACTACTAACATACATTCAACAACAATGGTTATATCAAATCGAACCGAATATCGAACCAATAAATTCAATTTTCTTTCACGAAATATAATAAACCAAAGCAATAACCACTTGCATTGCATAAATCATCATCCAATTAAGTTTAACAAGTTCATTTACATCATTTTCAATCCACAAACATAAGGATGACCTTTCTACAAAAAAAAAAAAAACACACACACACACACACAAGAATGACCAAGAATACTAAATACTAAAGATGAATAATCATAAAAATAATTCAAAATAGTTTAACTACATTCTACATTGTTAAGAGAAAATAATAATTATACAAAATTATCAATACAACATTCATCGTGAATTCACAGTTTAAATCCAAATTCCAATGAATAATATAAAAATAATCAAACTTATTCATCTAATTAATGAATTACAACTAGCAAGACATTAAATACCAACACCACAAGATTATCATCATTCACAAACATATAAAAAAAAAAGAGATCATGAGGGTGTGAGATTCACTCTAATATAATCTGCAAATAGGAGTTAAATTTTAAGATTACAAATTAGGGTTTAAATTTTAAGATTTTGGGCTTAGAATATAAAGTAATGGATGATAATTAGCTATAATTTTATATTATATTATCATATTAGTTCAGTTCTATCTATTAAAATTCGATAATATAATACTATTGTTTTTTGTTGAATAATATAACACTATCTTTAAAATAGAGTGCATAATATTCCCTTATTTATTTAGATAAACCGTAAAATATAATTCTCGCCCATTGTATGAATGCTAAATTCCAATGGCACAAACTGCAGAAGCGAATAGTAATAGGTTTCCAATACCGCTTTGCGCTAGTTAGCTTGACCAGATCTGCTTATGCATCAATGGAGGGATGAGTTAGGGTGGTTACTCAATTTTAAGTAATCATGGTGGCTACTAACATCTATACTCTTCATTATCCTTATTTCATCCTATTATGAAATTGACGGTGAAGATTAGATTAAAGGTAATTTTGAAAACGAAAAATATACCACACCAGATTTCTATCCTTTAAATAATTAATTTCTATATATTTAGCCAAACCCTAATCCCTCACTCTCCTCAACGAGACATGCCCGCCCGCCCCTCCCCGGTGACGGCGAACCCATCGACGAATCACCAGAGGGAGACGGCGAGGAAGCCTTTTCTCTATTGCCCCGACCACCAACCACCCTTCTGATCATGGACAGAAACGGCGACGGCGGCGGAGGGGACTTTTCTGGGCCGACGAGGAAAGTTCATGACGAGGAAAACTTAGCCGTTGCGATCCCGGAGACCGCCCATCAGATTAGCAGCGGTGAATTCCCTCTTTCTACTTCAATTTTGTTTTCCTTATAAGTTTTGTGATCCCCTTTTGATAAGCTAGTTACTCATTCAGATCTCGCCGCCAACAAGCCACTCGCCAACTTCTTCTTTCATGGCCCAACCGGAGTTGGGAAATCACGGCTCGCCAGAGCATTAGCAATGGAGTTCCTCGGGTCGACAGATTCGCTGGAAAAGGTGGGATGAATAAAAACCCTAGATCTGATTTTTTTTTCTCGCATTGGTAGTGATTTTTTCGTAGTGGTAGTGTTTTTTTGCATTGGTATTGTTTTTGTCGCATTGGTATTGATTATCATGTAATGGTATTAATTTGCATGTATTGGTATGGATTCAATCTGCAATGGTATTGATTTTTTGTGAAATGGTATAGATTTATATTGGTAGATTGTTTATAATGGTAGTTTTTGTGTAATGGTATAGATTTATTTCTGCAATGGTATTGATATTTTTCAAAGTGGTAGTGATTATCTAATGGATTGGTCGACGAGGAAAGTTCATGACGAGGAAAACTTAGCCGTTGCGATCCCGGAGACCGCCCATCAGATTAGCAGCGGTGAATTCCCTCTTTCTACTTCAATTTTGTTTTCCTTATAAGTTTTGTGATCCCCTTTTGATAAGCTAGTTACTCATTCAGATCTCGCCGCCGACAAGCCACTCGCCAACTTCCAGCGGCGGATCCAGGATATAGAAGTGCACTGGGCCGGATTCGAACATAAAATTAGATACCGTAAACAAAAAAAATTATTGTTTGCATTACAATGTCAATTGTACAAGACGATCTTTTAATTTATCAAATTCATCAATAATTGTTTTTGCCTTTTTATTTGGCGGTTGAGAAGATGTCATGATGAAATATCTTGAAATCTGCATAACGATTTAAACATGTACACAACGCAGTCAAACACTAGATTCTAAGTAAATTTGGATACAAATATATATGATATATGAGAAATCCTAATACTAAATTCTATGTTAATGGCTTAATGTATAATTGCACTGTACAAATTTAGTTTCTAAGTAAATAAGACTAACTAACTAAACTAAGACAGTAAAACCAAATTGCAAATTCGCAATTACCTGTGGGCTGTGGCTGTTGGCTGTTGTTGTTGTCGTTTACCTGTGACCCAACGCTGAGATCCCCTTCCTTGTATTTGATTTTTTGTCCCAATCCCAAACTTGCAGGGAAAGTCTAAAGAGGAATAGCCGAATAGGGCTGGGTGGGGCTGGGTCTTTGCTTTGGGATTTGTTTGGGCTGGTTGGGGATGGGTTTTGGGGCTGGGCCCAAATAATTGTGCATGGCTGGGTTGGGTCTTGGGGGGGCAGGGAGGGCTGGGCCCGGGCCCAGTGTGGCCCCCCCTGTATCCGCCGATGCCAACTTCTTCTTTCATGGCCCAACCGGAGTTGGGAAATCACGGCTCGCCAGAGCATTAACAATGGAGTTCCTCGGGTCGACAGATTCGCTGGAAAAGGTGGGATGAATAAAAACCCTAGATCTGATTTTTTTTTCTCTCGCATTGGTAGTGATTTTTTCGTAGTGGTAGTGTTTTTTTGCATTGGTATTGTTTTTGTCGCATTGGTATTGATTATCATGTAATGGTATTAATTTGCATGTATTGGTATGGATTCAATCTGCAATGGTATTGATTTTTTGTGAAATGGTATAGATTTATATTGGTAGATTGTTTATAATGGTAGTTTTTGTGTAATGGTATAGATTTATTTCTGCAATGGTATTGATATTTTTCAAAGTGGTAGTGATTATCTAATGGATTGGTAGTGATTTCGTGTTTTTTTTCTTTTGCAGAAAGATTGAGAAAAATAAGGAAAATGAATCTGGCTGAAGATTATGGAAGTGAGAGAAAAAGAGAGAATTGTAATTAATAGATTTTTGTAACTATCTAAAATGTAATTTATTAAAAAAATTAATTAATACAATTTATTTTTCATACCCAATTTACCATTAGTAACCACGGTGATTACTACTTATATAGAATCACTGTAACCTGTCCCATCAATGGATGTATACTTACGAAAGTCCCTACTATAGATTGGTTAATTAGTTTTATACCTTAATTGTCAGAGTAAGTATACCATTAGAGTAAGTAATGGAGAATATATCGCAATTAGACTACCACTTTTCCGAATTATGTTCGGAAAATTCATGAGTGAGAACTTGTCCGCAAAATATTCGATCCGATTTATGTGGGTACAATTGGTCCAATTTGGTCCCAAGTGAACCAAGCTTTTGTACACTCTTGCGTGATCGGTAGAAACAAAGAACAACAATAATTAAACCAAATTGGTGTTTAATTATTGAGTAATGCAAAACTAATCAAGGACCTCACCTCATTATCAGTCAATCGAATCTTGTTGAATTACGACATATTCATATTTAGGGTACATGATATTCAAAGGAATGACAGTTGTTCTTGTGTAGTTTATATGCCTTCTCCCTAATGGCGACATCCCAAGTCTGGCCCACACTCCCTGCCTTGTCGACCACAAAACGACAGTTCTCAATTTCTAGCCTTGTACAATAATAATAATGTGATTCCTGACTGAAATGAAGAGCTTAATTATTATGTTCTTCTGTGCTTCAATATAATTACTCGGAGGAAGGAACCACATTCGCCGGTCCAATCTCCCAAGACCAGAGAGAATCTCTTTCTCTTTCTCTTTCTCTCACGTGCAAATTTCTGCAGCTCTTTTGGTTCCTTCTTTTACATCTTTCTTCTATGGCGCTGGAAGCAGCGATCTACTCGCAAGACCCGTTTGGTTACCCACCATTATTCAAGGACCACTACGGCAGCTATGACTTCCACCAAGAAGAAGAAGAAGAAGAGGGTGAAATCAACAGGTCGGCCTCTCAGAGCCTCGACGACAAAATAATGTTGTTCAACGATTCCATCGCCACTCCTCCACCTCCTACGCAGCAGTCGAACGGCTGGGATTATTGTTACTACAACAACAACTCCTCCCCCGAGCCTTGCAGAGTTGCAGCACTACCGCCGTCCGCCGGCGATTATTTCTACCCGCCACCACCGGGAGATGTGGCGGCGTCCACGCCCATTGCACCGGCACGGCGGAAGCGGCGGCGGACAAAGAACACCAAGAACGAAGAGGAGATAGAGAGCCAGAGGATGACTCACATCGCGGTGGAGCGCAACCGGAGGAAACAGATGAACGAATACCTCGCCTTGCTTCGCTCTCTCATGCCCTCTTCCTACGCTCAAAGGGTCAGCTTTTGTTTGATTCTATTCTTACCTCCGGCTTGAATCCTTAATTTTATTATTTTTTAAAAAATGTGGGACTAAACTGTAAATTTTTATACTTTCTGAGGATCAGGGAGACCAAGCTTCGATAATTGGAGGAGCAATTAATTATGTGAAGGAACTGGAGCAGCTGCTGCAGGCCATGGAAGCTCAGAAAACGTCACATCATCAACAACATGCTCAAAACAACGACGGTCAGGCAGGGTTGACTGACAACGGCCGTTCGCCGTCGCCGTTATTTTCCGAGTTCTTCGACTTTCCACAGTACTCAACTCGGAACCGGACCGTGCAGGCTCAGTCGCCGCCGGTAGCTTCTGGCGACGGGATGGCCGGCAGTTTGGGTGGTGTAGTAGCGAGGGAGGAGGCGGCGGTTGGAGAGGTAGAAGTGACGATGGCGGAGAGTCACGCTAACGTCAAGATTCTGGCCAGGAAACAGCACCGGCAGCTGGTGAAGCTGGTTGCTGGGCTGCAGGGACTCGGGTTCACCATTCTTCACCTCAATGTTACCACCACGACCACCTCAGATCAAATGGTTCTTTACACCGTTAGCTTCAAGGTGGAGGAAGGGTGTTTTTTGAACACGGTGGATGAGATCGCAGCTGCCGTCAATCAAATGCTACGGCGGATTGAGGAAGGAAGCTATTATACTGATCAAACTTGTTAGCTAGCTAGCTGCTTTTTTTAGGTGACAGAATCAATTAATTAAGCTGTAACGAACTTTTGTTCGATATTTTTTCACAAGAATCTCTGAGCAAAGTTAATGGAAAAGGAAGGTCTCTCCATCTGCTAGAAAATTCACTATATATTATTATTATTATTATTATTATTATTATTATTATTATTATAAAATATAAATGTATTTTCATGGTCAATTAGTAACCAAATCTTCTTTCCATTTAGGCAAAATACAGCTCTATATCCACAACTATCAAGTTTGTAACATATCTACAACTATCGAAATACACGAAAAAATGTTAACTAACTATTTATTAATATAACAATAAAAAAGTAGCACAATGTTACTTTTAAATTATGAATAAAATATTTTGAAGATTGTAAAAATTTGTAAATATAAAACATTAGTTACTAAAAATATAAAAAAGTTCATCTGATCAACGGGTCAGGTAAAATATGTTTCAATGTTTCGTTCCATGAAAGGATTCTAGCCAAAGGATCTTCTGATCAATCTAGAGATCATTTCGAGAACTGCAATAAGAATCAATGTCTGCATCTTGAAGTCGGACATATTCCACTGGTTGTTGTATCTTCTCATAATCATGGTTATTACTTGTCAACCCGCAGGCTGATCGGCCAGTCGAACCACTTCGGCCCACACCCAGTGTCATGAGTCATGACCGGGCGACACAAACCCAGCACCAGTAGTCAGTTGGCTCGGATGTGGTCAAACACAGAATATCCCAGTCAAACCCATCGAAATCGACCAACTCAACCGACTGGTTATTGTTGGGATTTTTAGTGGTGTGAATGGAAATAAAAAGGGAAAGTTTCAAGAGAGTCTCTTGAAGTACCATGTTGGTAAGATGTGAGAAGGCACGGCCTCGAATTCGATCGAATTGATGTAATATGTGGTTAATCGGTTAAATTGGTTTGTGTACCTAACGGACCAAATCAAACCGAGTTGAACCAAATTGAACCGAACCGATGTGGCGGTTGGAATAACCAAACCGGTCCAACTACCATGGGCCGAACCGATGCAATGGTTCATTATTTCAAACATGAACCAATGTGTTGGTTGGGGTGTAACCACCCATATGAAGAGTCGCCTCCCTTCATTTTCTATAAATAGCACCTAACCCCCTCTGGTTTTTACATAGATTTTTCCGATACGAAAATTCTGCCAAAATCCAAAAACTAGTTTTCTGCATTCTTTTCAAAGAGAAAATAGAGTCAAATGTGGTTCTCGCCGGTTCGCTGCGTTCGATGGGTTCCGGGGTTTGAGGTACCGCTACGCCGGAAAAGGTACGTCCTTTCTATCCTGGGAGGAATCATTCCATAACCTTGGGTACTTGAGGGGAATAAGATTCTTTAAGGAGAGATAGTGAATTTAATCGGCTAGGACGCTTGCATGTGTCATTGCATGTTTTCTTAATCTTATGTGTTTGCTTGTGTTGCAAGAAAATAGTATACGTGAACAATTTTCTCAACAGTTATATTTAGGAAATAATAACCTTGATATTGCTTTTATCGCCCTAATTTAAGCTATAAGATTACTAAATTATCCTTTCCATTCAAACCAAATTCAATAAAACAAATACCCCTAAAATCCTAAAATCTGTAATCCTCCTTCATCACCGAATAACCACAGCTGATCAGCAACACCCAGCCACCACTGCCGTCGGCGGTCAATCGATGCCCGCCGAAGAACACAATCTCACACTTTGCACTTCAATTCCGTCGGCCCCACCCCCACACGCTTCCTGCACTTTGCACCTGTTCGCCCGCTTTCGCACCTCGACCGCCGACCGCCACAACTGCGGTACACCCTTCTCTTCTCCTCCGAACTCCGATCAAGCAATCGTGTCCGGCCTCGCAGACGTAGTGAAAATGGCAAATGGCAAGTAAAAATATACATTTATTGTTACCATGTCTTATAGTTACATATTTATACAGTATAAGAACAAATTATAAAGGTATGGGTTGATTAGCTTCTTTATTCCCCAGAATGGCGGTTGCTGGCGACGGGAATCAGCCGGCAGTGGAGGCGGTTAAACAAATTTTATTTATTAATTGTGGTTATTATTAGAATAAAGTATTTCTTAACAATAAAATATGTAGGGATAAAGTGGTAATCTCACATTTTAAGTTAGGACAATTTAGGGCGACGATTAGCAATCCCCAATAATAATGGCGAGTCAAGAGGCTCTGGAGATTCAAACTCTCGACCTTACTGTAACAAATGATAATTTCACCACTGCACTACACAACTAATTGTGTTTGCTTTAAGCAGTTTCTTGTTTTTATTCTTTAAAACGGTTGTCTTCCATTTCATTTTTGGCTCACCTGGCTCACCGTAAATGAGATTATAGATGGATGCAAAACAGTCATTTCATTTTTGACTTCTTCTCCTTCACGACGACGGGCACGCTTACTCTGTTGATTTAGTCTAAAGCCGACAAAAATCCTCATGGGTCATCGGCAGAGCTCACAAACTCCGCTTCTGGGCACCAACGTTGGGGTTTCATCTTCGAAGAAAAGGGGTTGGGGAAAAATTGCTCTGTTCATGGTTCCTGCCTTGTTGGCCATCGCAGGTCAGATTGGCGCTTCAGTTCTCACTTCTCAGGCGAGGCGGCCATGCCGTTGGTGCAGCAGTCGCCACAGTGTTGTGTCTCGGGGTGGTCAATGCGATGGCGAGTGGGATTGGTGGTGGTGGACAAGAATTATCAGATATAATTTTTTATTTTTTTATTTTTTTCTAACAATTAATTAAAAAATAAGTTACAAAGGTTGACCGGATTATGTGGCATTTTCGTTGACTGCCACGTCAGAATATCTCTTCCACATCAGCGTAGCATTTGCCAACTCACCATCATCTAACGGAAATGTTAATGGAGACTTAACGGTTGGCTAATAATTTGTATTCCAATAGTTGTGGCTATAATTCTCCATTGCTTAATAGTTGTGGCTAATATATTGTAGGGGTGGCTATTTGGACCGGGACCGGATTAAAAACTGGAAACCGGACCGTATAACCCGGACCGGGACCGGATAGTAAACAATCCAATCCAATCTTTGGGCTTAGATTTGAGGTAAAAAACCGGATAAAGACCGGATAAGAGAGCTCAACACCCAAAACTTAAGGGTAATTTGCATAAACAGTCACAAACCTTTGCACTTAGTACAAAACTTAACCAACTCATCACCCTTTAAGGCCTTAGGCCACTCAAATCCCACAATATCAATGTAAAATCAAGACCGAATTGGGACCGGACCGGATTAAAACCGGACAGGATCAAGACCGGACTGTATCCAATCCAATCTTCGGTCCTTATATTTTCAAAAAGACCGGACTGGACCGGATCAATTTGGGCCAATTTAACCGGACCGGACCGTATAGCCACCCCTAATATATTGTATTTACCCTTTTTATATTATGAAATCTAAGTATGAATATTTGAATATTGATGTTATAGGTTAGATTAAAGTATGTTAGATGTTTTTACTATATGCTAGATTTAAGTGTAAATGTTTTGATGTTGGCATTATATGTTGTATTCGAGGATGGACACTTGTCATTTTGATGTAGTGTTATATTTTATGTGAATGTAGAGAGCTTATTGTGACCTAAAAAAAAACTAAAAAAATATGCATAATAGAATAACTTTTTCCACGTATCCGGGCTAAACTAATTCGATCACTAACCCTTAACCCACTTTACCAATCGGGCCAATGGTTTAAACCGTGTTGACAACCTTGTTCATAAATCATAATACAATCAAATTTTTTTCACCAAAAAGAAAATAATACATTCACATTTTGTCACGATAGTTGCGAATTTCAATATGTTGTTGTGACAAATTGTACGGTTGTGACAAATGATTTTGACATTATAGTTTGTCATAATATCTAAATATGGGGTTCTTGTGTCAATTTTTTTTTGTCAAAATAAGTTTGTAATGGCGAACGTCATACTTATATTCCGGAATAATCTGTATATTTTGTGATGACATCATTTTATCATAATCTAACATGTTAATTCTACCACTAGATCTGAAAATCATGATAAATAACAAGATTGCCATGAATATTGAAGGAAACACAAAATATTCTACAATCTCAGTCATAATCCTTAAATAACAATCTTGCAGAGTAACATGTCATTCTAGTCTTCACAATGCATCCATTTGTTTCACTTTGATAGACAAACGTCCTATAGTAAGTTCATCTTAAAATGAAAGTTCTACATACAACCAAAAGTTTTGACAGACCATGACCCATATATTCTGGTTGTTCCTCCCGCATTTAGCTTTCTCCAATTATCCTGCCTTCAACGTGGAACATGGGTTTAGAATAGTTGTGTTGCACACCAAAAAGCCGAACCAAAGTGCTTAAAGAGCATTCTTAGGACCCTTAAGAAGCATATTCAAAAATTAATAAAACCTTAACGAGAACTTGACAAAATAGTGTATTCATAACCGAATGAAAGTATGCATACACAAGTTAGCAACAACACAAAATTCCGTACATTCAACAAATGATAATTAATATGGGTCTCATATAACCACGCATCAAGTAACCTCCCCTAAACAGTATTTTTCATTCCTCTGCTATATGGTCTTAGATAAGTTTTTGCCTATAATCAAGTTAGAAAACCATGGAATTAGTCATAATCAACATAATGATTGAGATAATTTTGTTGGGGGAAGAGACGGGCAGATGTTTTCAACAAGGGAACTTAGTAGCAGATTACCTCACGTCTCTGGGGCATACCCGCCGTACACATTTGTTAAGCATCAACGAGTGTGGTCATTTATTAGTTGTACTTTGATAACATTTTTCGTTGACGAAGAAAAGGTTGTGGCGCCCATTTGTTTAATTTTTTTGTGGAAGTTACTCTTTTTAAGTAAATAAATGGGTCTCATAAGATGTTCTGTGTGTCACGGCAAGTTCAAATGGGTATGGTTTGAGGGTGATGATTCGCATTATTGACTGCAAAGATTCTATTGGCTTTGCTAGCTACTGCAATTTGGCAGGCGTTTAGGTCGTGTTCTGTAATGTATTATATATTTTTCTCCTTGAAATATATAAGATAAATAAAATGATCTCTATTAAATAGTATGAATAAGTCAAATGGAACTGTACGTTTCTCTTTTCTATTCACCCTGTATAGCTTCAAATTCCAAAAGTGGAAATGAAAATAAAAGAAACTTCGATTGATGAGATTAAAAATGGATCCTCGAAAACCCAATAAAAAAAAAGTTAAGCCAAGCAAAAAAATCCAATTAGAATTTTGATTTTACAGGAAAAAACTCATTCAAGAAACCAACCCCAAAAAATACAAGCCCAATAACCAGTGGCGGATACAGGGGTGGCCACCCCGGGCCCCGGCCCAGTCCTTCACTAGATCCGTAATTAGTATAGTCTTTATGAATTTTTCGATTTTAGGCATTCGGCTTAGTGTGATTTTATAATAAAATTGGGTATAACTAAAAAAATGATTCAGATGACTATATTCAAATCACTACTCTAAATTTAGCCTTTAAATTTTAGCCCCAAAGATTATGCGTATAAAAAAAAACAATGAAACCTAAAATTCTAAAAGTTTAAAACGTAAACGACTAAAAGAAATATAAGGTTTGTTCCCTTGAAAACTTACTAGAGCAGTTGGTGGATGCAGGGATTGACACACAATGCCAATTGATTAGTCGATTGATTTGTATAGTGTTGATGCTGCTCGTTTCAACAGCTACTACGAAGAGAACTTTTTCAACAATGAAACATGTGAGAACTGATTTGCTCAACTAAATGAGCGATGAATTTCACGCCGATTGCTCAAGTATTTTATTTGAAACAGTGTAAACTATTGGTATGGATGTAGGTTCCATTATTGATGCATCACTAAATTAAAATACCGTCGTGTACAATTTACATTGGAAAAAAACTATAATCATTATGTTATTTTACTATTCAATTTTCTAATGAAACTCGGCCCAGTGCTCTTCTATGTTCTGGATCCGCCGCTGCCAATAACAATATTCACGCCCTATGTGATAAAGCAAATAGAACTAAATTCATTTACTCGTAAGCCTGGATGGATTTGCCCGACGTTCAGTTTCTTCTTCCTCCTTGTTCCCTCATCACTAGAAACAGAGTAGCATAAAACATAGTAGTAGGGGGAGCCAAAAGCTAATACTATGGTGTACTGCGCACAATTTGAATTTCAATCTCCAATTTTCTCGTTTCCTTCTTTCCTTACCCAACAACACTTCTAGACCGATGTCTTAGACGAAAACACGATTTTTTTTTTGTCATTCCTCCTCCTCCAACAACCTCTGCCGAGCCGACGAGCTCTTCTCAACCCAATGGTGAGTTCTCTCACCCCCAACGGCCGTTCTATCTGCAAAAATCCGACACCATTTGTGGCAGAGAACAATCGAATACCGATAGATGCATTTGTGGCAGCGGCTGCTATACTGGTTGTTGTCATCATCCTCTGCATAACTTCCAACGTCAATTAGGGTGGTTAGAAACATGGCTCTTTTCTTGCTTTCTTTCAATTTCATTGTAACGGAGGATCGCACAAGTGCTTTTTCGTAAAATTATTTTTTATGGAAATGCGAGGGTATCTTTTGATGGAAGCCCCAAGATGGTTATATGGTTATTCGACCTTGTAAACATTTTGGCATGTAATGACAAACTTCTTTCGTTTCGCATTCCAATTTTTTTTGTCCATAGTATGTGTTGGGGGTGTTACTGAAATACTCCGTGCACAGACTAAGTAGTAGAGCGCACAATCGGCAATGGCAACACTCGATACCCGCTACAGGTATATAAGGGCTTGAAACCCTCCAAAGGAAGGGACTTCTTCTCTCCCCTAAGTTTCCACTTTCCACGATCTCTCTACACTTTATCTCTCTAAGTATTCTCTCGACTCATTCTACACAATATAGTGACCTGATCGTCGGAGCTTAATTAGGGGGCATCCTCGACTTTCCACTGGTTCTCTCCCTCCCGATGAGATCAGACGAACGGATGGCGAGTCGACCCACACAACAATCATTATTGTTCATACCTCGAGCTAGTAGGTACAAACAATTGGCGCCCACTGTGGGGCTTGATTTCACATTCATTTTTTGATTGCCAAAGGAGGGAGGGATCTCTGTAATCGGAAGCTCACAAAATCTTCATCGGAAGGAAGGAAAGGACACATCAAGCCTCATATGAAATAAAAAATAAAAGATTTGGAAGTTTGAAGAAAGCAGAGAGTTGGAGGAAAGTCAAATTTCCCTTCACCAATCCGAGCGGCGGCAAAACCCAACCCGAATCGCCGCCTCCGGCCGGAGTAATTCCTTCCACAAGAGTCAGACCTACTCCTTTGTTGCCGAAAGGAAAGAATCCCATCCCATGCCCTTTGATGGATCACTTGAAAAGTTCCAGTGGCTTTTGGCTTTGGGAGGAGACTACCTTCCTCACCATCATCCCGAAGACAGCAACAGTCGGTCCTCACTGTTACCTCGCCTTGTCCCTCCCGGCATCTGCCTCGTCGCCTTCTCCTTTCTCCCAGCAGCAGTTGAAGAAAATAACAAGTTTCAGATTCCATTCGCCAGAGACTATTCAACGCCGGAGTCACTGTCACGACCTCTAAAAAATAAGACTGATTTGCTACAGTTGGTGGCCTTGCAGTTGGTGGCCTTGCAGTCGAGGAAGAACGAAAAGACATGACGAGTCTCTCTCTGTCAGAAGGAGAAGCGCTTTTATCGAGACAAAATGGTGCAAGTGTACGCCAGGCTGTAAAGTGCCCTCAGATTTCGCCGCTTCTACCCTATCTCGCGTCATCCGCCAAAGTCAAGAATCCCCGGACCTTTTTAATTGAGTGAAGAAGTTTGAAAAAAATAAAAATAAATAAATAAATCATCATGGCGGCGGAATACTGCCCGCCTTCATACTTCTCAACTCTCACCTGCTGCCCTAGCCGCTTCAGCCTTCAGCTATCATCAATCCCGCCTGCAACAGGCGACGTGGGCCCAATCCACCTCACAACCTGTCCAAGTCGCGGCCTGTTTACAAATCTTGAATTCATCTCACAGCCCGAATCTGACCTGCTACCGCGCTACTTGGCCGTTTCCACACTCGAGATTGGGCCGCGTCTCGACGCCTCCAACCCACGGCCCAACTTCCGCTTTAACACCAATCCGCCGACAAATGGGCTCAAGTCCTGGCCACGTCGCCATCCAATTCCGCCCCAAACCCTCGCTCCGCGCAACTGAGACAAAGCCCGCGCCCCAAGCACCGCTCAACCGCTCAGCTTGCGGCCCACTTCAAGTCTTGCTCGCCACATATCCAACTCGCGGCCCAACATATCCAATTCCGCTTTAACACCAATCCGCCGACAAATGGGCTCAAGTCCTGCCCATGTCGCCATCCAATTCCGCCCCAAACCCTCGCTCCACGCAACTGAGACAAAGCCCGCGCCCCAAGCACCGCTCGACCGCTCAGCTTGCGGCCCACTTCAAGTCTTGCTCGCCACATATCCAACTCGCTGCCCAAGCAACGCTCCGCTCGACCGCAAACCCTCGCTCCGCGCAACTGAGACAAAGCCCGCGCCCCAAGCACCGCTCGACCGCTCAGCTTGCGGCCCACTTCAAGTCTTGCTCGCCACATATCCAACTCGCGGCCCAACATATCCAACTCGCGGCCCAAGCAACGCTCCGCTCAACCGCTCAGCATGCAGCCCATCCAACCCGACTCGCATATTGTTTCACAGTCCGTCCACGCCACCAACTTCGTGCCTCGCATCACTTCCCGCTCGCTAGCCTCCAGATCCGCTTAACTCGCGGATCGCCCATCCCAAGTCGCGGTCCGCGTCGCACCTGGCCACCAGGGCGGATCGATGGAATCTGACTCTACTCGCGGCCTCGCGCCTCACCTGGCCCACCACAAGAGTGTCACTCCTCCGAGTCAAAAATATTATCACTGCCGCCAATCCTCGAACCCGGGCCACTCTTCCGCTAGACAAGCATACTCTACAACTCGCCTTGTGATCCTTAGGCGCAACACTCTTATTTTAACAACTCTTCGCGCCGCTTCGCCAACATAAAACTAAGTACTCTATCCCTTTATCATTATTAAATATTAAAATATTTTACTGAGCGTTAATGGCGCTAATGGGGGGCAAGACGTACCCAACAACGTGGGAGATGAGATACTCAATCAAGCGACATATGATCACGGCCCGTGACTCGACTAGTTTACGCCATGAAGAATCTACAATGGGTGAGGGCTAATAATCACGGCCCATGCCTCGACTAGTCAATGCCATGCCCTCACCAAGTGCTCGACGCCTTGAAGACTCCAAACTGAGGGTTAAAAACCCCGACGAGGAGAGGACACATTGCCTTGAAGACTCCAAACTGAGGGTTAAAACCCCGACGAGGAGAGAGCACATTGCCTTGAAGACTCCAAACTTAGGGTTAAAAACCCCGACGAGGGAGGGCACATTGCCTTGAAGACTCTAAACTGAGGGTTAAAAAACCCCGATGAGGAGAGCTTCATGAAGAATCTACAATGGGTGAAGGCTACACGCCTTAATGAAATACAGCAACTGGGGGGCAAGACGCAAGAAGCTGACTCCGCGTCAGTCAAACGCGCCACCAGCTGGGGGGCAACTGGGGTACATATGGCTCCATTCAAAATTATCGATGAAGATTTATATATATATACGACTCGTATGCTCCTGACGCATAGCATGCGACAAGATTCTCTACCATAGATCTAATCTAACGGTCATTATAAATTATGACAAAATAAATAATAATAATTACTACTTGCACCCCTTAAATAATCTACGTGCTATGAAGTCCTCTAATAATAATTGTCGTTATATTTTCTATTATGATACCTTATTTCGTAAAGATTTGTTATTGAACACCCAAAATTTATATAAGCTAAAAAAACAAAAGTTCCATATTAATTTGGTTCATCTTATCGTCACCATCCCACACCCCCAAATCCCAATTCGGCTCTCCTTAAAAAAAGCCATTGTCATCATCCGTTCATCCAAAGTACCCCATAGCTAGCCCGTACTTTGACCATCATCATCAAAACCCAATAACCATCAAACGCACGCCGATTGAATGATCGACTTCTATTTTGGAATGTCTGCGGTTGGTTAACGCAGATGAGTTGGGACTGTCACGATTGGTGATTCATTGATGCGGCTGCGGGAGTCGAGCTCCGGCAGATAGGGAGTTCAGTTGGCCAAATTTTTTTAGCCTAGGATGGAATTGGATCTGGGCGATTGCATATGTTAAACTGGAGAGGGAAGAGGGCTGGTCAGTCTATTGTTCAAAAGCTTGAAGGGAGAAACGGGATTTCGCTGGGAACGTAGGGCTGTGGGAGAGGAGAGACGTTGGTGGGACCGACTCTGGGATAGTGACGTGGGTTCGCCGGGTAAGAGAGACAACAGTGGGATGGTGTCGTGGGGTTGCCGGAGAAGAGAGACGGCCGTCAGATTACGGCAATGACGGAGCAACTGGATGATTGGGGATTTGGGGTCGTCGAGAATTGCAGCTGGCGCAAGTGGAACTACTCCAAAAAAGTCTGAAAGCAGCTGGTGCAAGTGGAACTACTCCAAATCGTAAACCCTCTACGACTGCATCCTTGTTTGGCAGAATGGCAATGGTAAAACAATTTGTTGTTTCCTGTTATTTTCTCTTGACGAACAGCAAGGGTTTCTTGACCAAATGAACTAAACAAATGTACGGTCTTTTTTTAAAGGGAACAATGTAGTCTTTTGAACCCATCTTCGGCAACCCAAGAGTAATCTGGGAGCCTAGCGAGGTGCTGCTTACATGCATTTGAATTGGGATCCTCCACCCAGTAGGCCATTAGACACACAACCTTTTCAACACTTCCAATGCAGAGTTACTTGCTGTTCTCATCCTCATAGTGTATGTGTTCCATGGCTAATCTTAGTGCCTTGTCCCTCAGCTTAGAGAGTGGCGATCGTGTTAATAATGACTCCATGAAATGGCGGCTGAACTATCAAATATCCACTGATACTCCTAGTGTGACCCTGAAAGTAGTATTTCATAATCAATAGCTTACCAGTTCTAATTTGTTGATCTAAAGCTAGTGTCTGAGGCACAGTCAAGAAAAGCAACGGACTCGAATTCAGAATGAATACCTTATGTTCCACGACGTGCACCATCCCCAAGTTCTATACCATTACAAGTTTCCAGAGAATGCATGCCGAAGGAATAGCAAACAGAAACCTAGTCAAACTAAGAGATTGAAAAGTTCCTTTAGTTCTTATACCATTGTCCTTTTAAGTGCCCAATTACACCAAGCTTAGAACGCGAATTTGAAGTTAAAGAAATTACCAGGAAACTTAACCTGGTGGCATCCAAGTGGCCCGGACTGAATTCCTTCTCTTCATGCTGCTAAAAGTTGTACTGCTCCCCACCACCATCAGGTACTTAATCTTCCTTGACGATTATACAATCAATTTGAAACACCTTCCACCTAGAACAACCCAAGGGTCAGTTTAATCATCACCGTATCCAGTTTAATCACATCAAATGGACCATCGTTCATTTCGAAATTAAGATGCTCTAATGAACCACCCATATCCAAAGTATAGACATGATGGTGCTGTGCTACGATCAATTACTCAGGGCAATCCTGGTTGGTTTCAATCAAGAATTTTTTTCTCTACCACATAACAATTTAGTCAAGCTGTAAAACTTACAAACAGATTCCAGACCCATTGTTTCTAAAGGTTCGAGCCTTACCTCTTTTGCTACATCCATCAATGCAAGAAAACTCCGCTCTTCGAATTCAATCTCATTGGAAACCCGAAGCCTTGCTACCCCTTCCAAAACTTCCTCCGATTTTACGAGCCCTGTCTACCCAAGAGCAACACAGAACACATAGAGGACCCCCTACGAAACAAAAAGCAACTACAACAAAATTCATTGCGGCAAATGATCGAGCATCAGACATGCAACCAATCAATGAAGCAAAATTACCTTGCCGTGCCTTTCCTTGAACTCGTCAAACCCTCTGGACTCGATGATGGTGCATGTCTTTCCGAGCCACCTTCTGAAGTCCGCGAACTCGAACAGGTCACCTCCGAATCGGCTTTCGTGGCAACAAATTCTGGCTATCAGAGCTTGTACTTGGGAGCCTCAGAGAGAAGCTTGTCGTAGGTACCCTGGTCGAAAAGGACCATGTTCTTCTCCTTTTGATAACCCTTGCTCCACTTCTTACTCTTCTGCTTGCCTCCTCCGGACTTGGCCGGCTTCGACAACGGCGGCGGTGCCTTATCCTTCTTGGGAGCCTGCAGAAACCCGGATCATCAATCAAATAACAAATTCCATGGAAGGCGAAAACGAAGAAGAGCAGATTTAGGAATCTAAACGCCCCATTGGCGATCAACACACGGAGGTCGGCGAGAGAGAGCAGATGTGCTAGTTTCGGCAAGACGGCGTCTTTGAGAGCTCGCTGTCTTTCCTGTCACGGATGTCATGAAAATGATGAAATCATCTGGTACCCCTTGTCGCCATCGTCATCAATTTCGTTTGGAGTAGATCAGACCGTCAGGTCAATTCTCTGATCATTCCTTCCTCACCCGCCTCTCGAGCACACGATTCAATCCTCGAACAGATCACTCCCTTAATCCGTAGACAGCGATGGGAAGCAGAAAGGCCAATTGCTTCAATCGATAATCAGGATGAGAGGAGAGGGTTCGTCAGCCACCACAAAAAGCAAATGGGAAAGGGAGTTTGGGCGTTGAGAGTGAGACGAGTGGCTAAAGGAATAGATCACCCAGATTGAAAGTAAACGTAACTTAATGGATTGGAGACATGATTAGAATAAAATTTGGCAGTGTAATTGAAAAATATGTGAAAAGTTTGTCTAGAAGTTAAAGGGTACGTATAAAAATGCAATAGGACCAACTTATTATTTAAAAAAAAGGACCAACTTATCATTTAGAACAGTAAATACTAAATAATTTAATTATAATTAATAAACACCGTTAGATTAGATCAATGGTGTAGAAAAACTGTAGCATAGTATGCGTCAAGAGCATACGAGTGTGACCCATATATATATATATATGCTAGTGATGAGTTAGAACTCACCACCAGCTTGGGGGGCAATTGGGGGGCTGTTACTGAAATACTCCGTGCACAGACTAAGTAGTAGAGCGCACAATCGGCAATGGCAACACTCGATACCCGCTACAGGTATATAAGGGCTTGAAGCCCTCCAATGGAAGGGACTTATTCTCTCCCCTCAGTTTCCACTTTCCACGATCTCTCTACACTTTATCTCTCTATCTATTCTCTCGACTCATTCTACGCAATATACTGACTTGATCGTCGGAACTTAATCAGGGGGGCATCCCCGACTTTCCACAGGTTCTCTCCCTCCCGACGAGATCAGACGAACGGATGGCGAGTCGACCCACACAACAATCATTATTGTTCATACCTCGAACTAGTAGGAACAAACAGTATGACGCCACAAAAATATTGTTATCAAGACAACACGTCTCATTAAGGACAAAATTGTAAAATGACATAAAATAAAAAGTCAAATAAAAAAAATATGACAGACATTAGGATTCTTTAAAGCGAACGAGAAATTTTCTAAACCTAACCATAAAACTATTTATCACAATAACAACAAAAAATCTTTCAGTAAAAGGAAAATTGATAAGTAAGCATAAAAAAAACATAACAAAAATATTAGAAGACAATACTTAAGAATTAGCTAAAGATATAGTTAATAACAAATTTAGAATGTCAATGTAGAGAAAAACAAAAAGAATTACACTATGACCTAGAATTAGCTAAAGGTGTAGTTAATAACATTATAATATATATATACATCAAATGAAAATTATAGGTGAATCTAGTGAAAACTATAAGCGCACACAACGAAATTATCATAAGTAGATCTTAATGAAATAATAATTAAACTTCAAGAAATAATGAGCCCAAAATAATATCAGCCCAATAACAATATCCAAGCCCAATGTGATATAACAAATAGAATTAATACATATATTCGTAGGCCTAGAAGGATTTTTCTGACGTTCGGCTTCTTCTTCCTTGTTCCCTCACCGCTAGAAACAGCGTACAATAAAACATAGTAGTTGGGGGAGCCCGAAGCTAATGAATATGGTGCACTGCCACAATTTGAATTCCAATCTCCCATTTATTGTTTCCTTCTTTCTCTACTAGCAACACTCCTGGACCGATGTCTTTGACGAAAGCGAGAAATTATTTGTCCTTCCTCCTCCTCCTCCCACCACCACTACCGAGTCGACAAGTTGTTCTCAACCCACTGGTGAGTTCTCTCACCCCCAACGGTCGTTCTATCTGCCAAAACCCACCACCATTTATGGCACAAAACAATGGAGTACTAATCGACGCAATTGTGGCTGCGGCAGCAATGGTTATAATAGTTATTGTTATCATTCTCAGCAAAACTTATAAAAGCAATTATGGTGGCTAGAAACATGGTTCTTATCTTGCTTTGTTTCGATTTCATTGTAACTAAGGAACGTACGAGTACTTTTTGTTAAATTCGCTTTT